AGTAGATTAGAGTCAAGGTTTTCTTTTTCATGGATTTAGAAATAGCCATATTTTTATTTAGGAATGGCAAGGAGTGTGTGTAGCCCACAGAACCACAGAACCACCCCATCATCATCATCATAATCTCCTATCACCCTACACACCCAGCACTGTAAGTCCTTTAAAACTGAAATAAAATGTACCTGAAGCCATTTTTGCTGGTGAGTTGCTCAGGTGTGGCTTGGTTGGGAATGTTTCCTTCTTTCACCTGGTGAAGAAAACTGTGGAGCCCCCACTTATATAGCAAGGGGTCTGTTTAAAATGGATCTGTGTGTCCATGATCACAACAACAGCTTTGCACCTTCTCCCTGCATAAATACATAAGTGTTCACGGTGGTGCTACCTCATCACAGGCATTTTCACAGATGTGCAGCTTGAGGAGCTTTGTTTGTCTTGGGATGAGACCAGTGCTCTGTGATTTCACCATATTCTCCTGTTTATTGTAATTAAAAGTTTCCTCATCACAGCAAGACCCAAATCAGATCGTGGTGGGATTGTTTGTGCCCTCCTCATGTTCCTGCCTGGCTCTGCAGCCTTGGCCCACAGGGCTGACTGGCCAGCTCAGGATATTTCTGGCTTAAAGCATGTGGCGATTGGCACCAGGAGAGGTTTAGGTTGGATATTAAGGAAAAGTTCTGCCTGAAAGGGGTGACCAGGGATTTAAAGCTCTGTGGATGTGGCACTTGGGGACAGGGGTTAGTGGTGGTCTTGGTGGTGCTGGAGGAATGGTTGGACTGATGATCTTAAAAACCTTTTCCAACCTAAAGGATTCCATAATTCTATGATGTTTTCCTCTCTATCTTTTGTGAGGATAGAGCTGGCTGGATGTTGTCAGATGAATCCTATTTCTGCCAAGGAATTCAAATTTCTCCCAAAATGTCAAAAGTCCAGCAAACACTTTTGCTGAGCTGGTTTGTCACAAGGGAGACAAGGAGCTGTCCTGCCGTGGTGCTGGTTTGGATTCCAACCTGCCCACTGCAAATCCAGAGCTCTGGGAATTTCCTCAGCTGGACAAGACTGTGGGAAAACCTGGTCATGAGCATCTTTCTGCTCCTGCCTGAGATGCAAACATGAAATACTGTGAGATTAAGGAGAGGAAAAGGGGATAGGAGGGATGGGGAAGAGGAGATGGGGAAGGGAGCCAGAGAATCATGGAGTGGTGTGGGTTGGAAGAGACCTTAAAGCGCATCCAGTGCCACCCCTGCCATGGGCAGACATCTTCCACTGTCCCAGGGTGCTCCAAGTCCTGTCCAGCCTGGCCTTGAAGAGAGGACACAGCCCAGCCATCCCTGTTTTTGAGGAAAACAAGACAGAACGTGGATGGGCAGCTCCAGGGGGTATTTAATGGACTTTTACTCCACATAAAGCCCCCATCACTCCAAACCAGTCTGGTTTGGCCTTTGTCTGGTGTTCAGGGGCATCCTGTGTCCGGGGGTGATTTGGCTCGCCCCGGCACGCCCCCGTTTGCTGTGTGTGGTTCTGGTTTCCAAGCAGCAGCATCGCCCCCGGAGCCGCTGGAGCTGCGGGAGCAGAGAGAGGAGAGCTGCTCGATAAACATGAGGGAGAGCAGGGCTGTTCCGAGAAGCCCCCGGGTGTTGCTGCTGGAGACGCGGTGGTGTCACAGGGAAATGTCAGTCCTGGCAGCAGAGGGAACAGCGGGTCCTGCCGCTATCAGGTGTCCCGTCACCCCACGGCGGCAACATCTGGGCGTGTTTTTATGTTTTCCATTCCAGGTCGTGTTGAAATCCGTCAGGGCTGAGCGAGCCGCCGCTGCCCAGCCCAGCCCAGCCCCGGCTGACGCCGCTGTGAGCGCAGCGGCTCCGGGGGGGAGAGCGGAGCTGGATCCGCAGGATCGCGCAGGATCCCGCAGGGTCCGGCAGGAGGAGCCGGGCTGGCCGGGCTGGCCGGGCCGCCTCTGTCCCTCTGTCCCTCTGTCCCCGGGCTGGCCGGGCCGCCTCTGTCCCTCTGTCCCTCTGTCCCTCTGTCCCTCTGTCCCCGGGCTGGCCGCGCAGTCAATGAGGCAGAAGCGGCGCACGACGAGCGCCGGGCCGGGCAGAGCCGCGGTTGCATGAGCGGCTCCCAAACCTCAGCCGGGCCATTTTCCGTCTCTGCCATTCCTGCCTTCCCAACCCACAGCATCCCATCTAAGGCAGCGTCACACTCCATGATTTCCACATTCCTTGGAAAAGAAAAAAAAACCCTGCATTCTCTTCAGGATGGCTCCGTGTCCACCCACCTTTCCCTGAGCTTTTAAACAAGTGGAACAGCTTTTCCTGGGTGTGCTCCCGAGGTCCTGGTGATCTCAGCCTGGGGAATCCTGACCGAGGAGCTGTTGCTGAGCCACAGCCCAGCCCTGCAGAATGTTTGGGGTGTGAGGAATTATCTCTCCGAACTCACTGCTCCAAGGAGAAATTCAGATTTCAGATTTATGAGGATTATTTACCAGAGCTGGAACTGCTGGGTTTCACTGAACTCCTGTGGGAAGATGAGGCTGCACCCCCAGGTTCAGCTCTCCAGGCAACCCTGCCTGTCTGCCTGAGCATCTTGATGAAAAACAGGGATTTTCCCTCCCTACTATTACCTGGGAGGGGGTTGTAGGCAGGTGAGGGTCGGTCTCTTCTCCCAAGGACAGGAGGATGCCTCAAACTGTGCCAGGGGAGGTTGAGGTTGGATACTGGGGAAAATTCCTGCCCAGGGCAGTGGTGGAGTCCCCATCCCTGGAAGGATTTAAAAGCTGTGTGGATGTGGCACTTGGGGACAGGGGTTAGCGGTGGCCTTGGCAGTGCAGGTGGACACAATGATCCTACAGGGCTTTTCCAACCTGTGTGATTCCATGATTCAATGACAGAAATCAGGACAAAATACAGAGCCTGGGCTGCATAGACTGATATATTTATTAACATTAAATGTGTTTTAAACACAGACCACTCTGAATATAGAATGAAACAAACCCCCATCTCCAGGCTTCTTAGAAACTACTTCAAGCATTTCACATAAACCAACAACACTACAGAAATATTTATTTACTTCTGGCATTTTAAAGGAGGCCAAAACCCTGGGCTAAGGGAGCAGCAGAGCAGGACTGGGGTCACAAAAACTGCTTTTGACACAAGTGGTTTCTCACCAAGTGCAAACAGCAGATTTTTTTTTTTCTAATTCTAATTCTAATTCTAATTCTAATTCTAATTCTAATTCTAATTCTAATTCCAATTCTAATTCTAATTCTAATTCTTTATATTTTTATATTCTGTTCAGTCACTTGAGTGAGTTGTTTACAGAGATTTGAGGAATCTGGAGCCTGGAAGGCCAGAAAAAAACTTCCATCTTCCATTTGGAAACTGAAAACAAGGAATGGAGGGGTGAGCTCTGCAAGTCCTAAAATCTTGGCAAACATGGAAACCAAGAACAGTCAGTTATTTTCTCTCCCTGTGAATGCTCCTTTTTTAATTAACCAATTTTATAAGTAAAATATGTTTAAATAACTTTTATATATATGTGGCAGAACTAATTTGGGGTAGTTTTATTTAACTAATAAAAATCAATTCCAAAATGCTGGTTTATATGCTGTTTAAACTGAAATACAGTTTTCCACTGAGGTGCTTTACTGGTAAAGAACCATCCTGTTACTTCTATAAAATCTTTTTTGCTTAGAATTTTATCCTTCTCTGGCTGTTGTTGGGGTGCAAAGCAGTTGCAGGAGCTGCTTGGAGCCCAAAATGTCATGAAACACCAGGACACAGAGGCCTTGGGCTCTCTGAGAGGGGACAGTTTGAGCCACAATGTCTTTGTCACCCTCATCCAGCCAAGCCCCCATGCCCACTGTGCCCCCCCAGCCCTGGTTTGGGTGCCCAGCTGGCCCTGAGCCCACCACCGTCAGCTGTTGCTGCCATGCCAAGATAATTTAATTACAAATCCAGATGTTTTTTAGCTTCTCCTTCAAGACTAGATCTAGCTGAGAGTGGGGCTGCTGGTCCTGGGCCCTGTTCTCCTGCTTTGAATCCTGGTGATTCTCTCTGTCACATCCCAAGCTGAAGTTTTGGCACTGTTGAGGTCCCCACAGGTAACTTTACATCTGCTCTTGGTTTTCCATTCCTGCCTGCCCTCTGAGTGAAGTTTGAGGAGGTGAAATTTGGTTTCCAGCTAAGCTGGACACAAAAAGCTGCTCATTATTCCCAGGAAACCAGCACCAGGGTTATGGGACACCCCTGGAATGGGCATGGCAGGATGAAGCAGGATGAGGATTTACCCATTACCTTTATTAGGACTTCAAAAGCAGTTGGAGATTTTTGTCCCACAATTTATAATTTCCCAGATGTTCTGAGGTCACACAGGTTCCTCACCATGGGGAAGATCTTCTGACAGGGGCCAGCTCTTGCTTGGGGAGCAGCAAGCCTTTGGGCGAGACCCTTCCCCCCAGCTCTTCCATAGTCTTTGGAGAAAAGGAGGTGGTTTGGGGGGATCCTCCACCTCAGACCTCTGCCAGCTGGGCCTGTGGACACAGCCATGGCTTTTACAGCTGAAGAGTGGCCCAAAATCTGCTTCTCACCACAGCCACACAGTGCTGTTGGCAGTGTCCTTGCAGTGCCAGGTCCTGTCCTTCCCGGGGTGGTGGGGCCGGAGCAGAGCCCTCATTCCCAGTCCTTCCTTGGCACTGACCAGGCTGGAGCTCAGTGCTGGGTGTGGGGCTGCCCGGGCTGGGCGACCAGTTTGCTACTGGGGGATCACAGGTGGCTCCTAATTTCTACAGAGGCTTTAGGGGTCTGTCAGTGGGGTGGGGACAGTGGCAGTGGGGTGGGGCAGCCTCGGGGACACAGCCTGGACACGTGAGCAGCCCAGGGCAGCAGCTCCCAGCCCCGAGCTGGGCTGTGCAGTGTTGGCAGCCCGGGATCTGGGCAGAGCCATGCTCCAGGGGATCCATCCCCACAGGGGCTGGCAGGGCCTGGTGGGGGGCACAGGACCCCTCACTCTTCTCCTGGGTGCTCCCCCACCGTCCACTTGGCCTTCACGTCCCGGAAAGGAGTGATGTCCTCGTAGGTGGCCATCTGCTCCACCTCCAGCCCCTGCAGCAACAAAAAGGAAGGTGGGACACGGCAGGAGGTTCCAGCCATGGCACAACCCTTGGGACATCCAGCTGGGGACCCTCCCAGGCTGTTCTCCATGAGCCTGGAGCAGCTTCTGACAGGGACAGAGGATGGGAATGGCTGGATGTTGGATGTTGGATGTTGGATGTTGGATGTTGGATGTTGGATGTTGGATGTTGGATGTTGGATGTGCACTAGATGCTTCCTGGGGCAGCTCAGCACAGCTGATGCATCATTTGGGGGGAAGGTGTCCTAATCCTCCTCCCAAGGAAGGGGCTACAAGGTGACCCCCAGCAGACCCCCAGCAGGGGCACAACCCCCTGTGTGAAGGCTCAGGTGATGTTAGGAAGGTCCTGCTATCAATGATTACCTCATAGGTGTGGTCCTCCTCTGGGCTCTTCTTGTCTTCACCCTATGGAGAGTCACAGGCTGGGGTCAGCACCCGCCAGGATCCCCTGTTCCCAGCCTTGGCCCCCCAGACCAGGTCCCACCACTTCCACAGGCACATCCACGCAGTCCCCACACAGAATTTGAGATGGGTATGTTCCCATTTCAGATATCCAGGTTCCCACCCACAACCCCAAACCCATCCCACACCCAGGACTGGCCTGCCTGGGATGCTCTGCAGGACACTGCTGTGAGCCCAGCTGGGGACATCCCCTCTGCTGGAGGCACTGTCACTTGCCTTATCTAGGAAGAGGAGGATGGGGATGCTGATGAAGATGACGAGCAGGATGGACTGGATGATGATGATGGCATCTTTCAGCGTGTTCCTGTTCTGGTACTGCCTGATGCTGCTGGTACCTGGGAGCAGCAGCACAGGGAGAGCCCCAGTCTCACCTCTGTGCCAGGCTGCAGGGGGAGGGATGAGCTCGCCATGGCCAGTGTGTCACCAAGGCGGGATGTGGGGACCAGGGTGACCTGTCCTCTGCATTGGGAGAGACCAAAGCACTGCAGCTGCCCCCAGGGCTGGCATCAGGGACCAGCTCTGGGATGGGACACCTTGTGCAGCACCCGGCAGTCACCAGGAGCAGGACAAATCTGATTTATTAGAGGACCATGTCCCTGTTTTTTGCAGGATGGCTATGTCAGGGCAGACCCAGGGAGGTTTTCCTGCTCCGTGGGGCTGGCAGTGAGGAACAGAACCTCTGGGGTACCATACAGGACCCACAGCTGGGTCAGAGAGGGTCCCACTGGCACAGGGAGAGGTGTGGGAGCACCATGTGGGGCTCATATGGAGGGGGAAATGGGAGAGGAGGAGAAAAAGCATCTCCTGGGGTGCAGGAGGACTGGGAGCTGCCACTCACCCATGACCTGGAGCTCTGTCCCACACGAGTGCAGCTTCTCCTTCTGCATCAGGCCCTTCCTGTCACACACATAGATCCCACTGTCCTTGGAGGTGGCCCTGACCAGGGTGAAGTTGATGGAGGTGTTTGTCCTCTCGATGCGGTAGCTGGCCGTGTTCTGATCCAGCCCAGAGATGTCATCCCTGTCCTTTGCTGTCTTGTACCACTGCATCGCCTGGGGCTCCTGGGAGTAGCAGATGAGGTAGATGGGCATGTTCCTCCTGACGGCCACGTACCGCATGTACTGGTACACCGGGGAGCACCTGCCACCTGCAGGGGACAGGGCTGTCACTGCAGCCACTCCCTTGGGAGCCCCCAGCACCTCCCAAACAGCTTCCCGTTTTCATGCTGCTTGTGAGCATCCAGCTTGGTTTTGCTGAATTATCCACATCGCAGACCCCAGGGAATGGTCCCAGCCCCGAGGCTGCAGCAGCTCCAGGAGTGTTCGGACACCTGTCCCAGGGATGCCCAGGGTGGGATTGCTGGGGTGTCTGGGCAGGGCCAGGGGTGGGACTGGATGATCCTTGGGTGTCCCTTCCAATCAGGATATTCTGTGATTCTATGAGATCTGAGGCCTCAGGTTTTAGCTTTTCTATTTTTCAGGTTCTGTGCTGCGTTAGTGTGCACTTCTGACCTTCACATGAGGGGATGGTGAGCTCTCTGCACAGTGCAGGGAGACAAAACAATTCCCTCTCTAGCTGGGGACCAGGGACAAATGATCCAAATCTCAGCCCAAGCGCACAAACAACATGGGCTGAAGAGAGAGAAACAAGAAGGACGGGACTGCATGGGCTAAAGCTGGAATTGGACAATGAACTCCAATATGCAAATGGACCCAAACTTACAAAAGTGAGAGACCCTGTGATCGGTGGGGAAATTTGTGACCATTTTGGTTCACCTGGGGTGTAACCCTGCCTGGACTCTTGTGCTGCCCAAGGTACATCCCTTGAGGCCTTCCAATAAATATCTACCTGTATTCTTCAGCTCCGTCTAGTCTCTGTTCTAGGTCAGCCTTCACAAGGCATCATAATGAAAACTCCAATTTTCTGTGGGGATACCTGTGCTCCAGTACTTCTGTCCTGCTCCCACCCCTCTATGTGCACATTTAGTTAATCCCAGCTCCAAAACTACAGCCTGTCAAATCCCAGCTGGTTTCTCTTTTGCTTCCACATTTTTTTTGCCTTTTGCTTTATTTTGTATTTTTTTGGCCATGTTTTAGTCCCAGAGTGGTGACTTTAGGAGCCTGTTTGGGTTGCAGAGGTCACCCTTAGGGCCCCACCAGCGGGAATGGCACAAGGACAATGGCACAAGTGCTGTGGCACAAGGCCAGTGCTGGCCCCAGATTTGGTCATGCAGAAAATGCAAAGGGAAAACCTGTGGGTGCTCAGAAAAGACAAAGCAGACCCAACTTTGCAGAGAGAGAGGAAGGAGCAGGATTGGGGATGAGCCATGGGGGATGTCACAGCCTGGGAATGGCCTTTGTGGGGGGAAAAGCCTGTGGGGGGTGGGACAGCAGCTCTGTGGGGCAGGAGGACGCTGGGGGACACGCGCAGGGGAGGAGCCCAGCAGGTCTGGGGGTACCTGTGCTGTTCCCAGTGCTGTTGTCTGCTGAGATCCCACCTGCAAGACAGGAGAAGGGCTGAGATCGTGGCCAGGAGCCCACCAGGATGTCCCCAGTGGGATGGATGTGCCCTGGCCCTTCCTGCCTACTCCATAGGGGATGGAGTTCTGAGGAGCAACAACAGAGCCCTGCTCAGAGGACCTGGGGCACTGAAGATTTGGGTACAAACCTTTCGATTTCCATCCTGTCTCCTGAAAGTTTTCCAGGTTGTTTTCTGGTTGATACCCCACCGAAACCTGCTCTCTATAATGTCTCCGAGGCTGGTGCCTCTCAGGAAGGCTCCAGATACTCCCAGCTCTGCATTCCCGCTCCCTGGACCAAGCAGAAACCCTTCCCTGCTGGAATTTCCTGGGCTTGGAGCCCTGTGGTGGCCAGGGGTGTTCCCAGATCCTGTAGCCACAAAGCCCCCTGGGCTGTGGGCTGGTGCTGTGGGACCTGCAGTGCAGGAAGCAGGGGAGGTGGGGACCCCCCCAGCACCCACGGGTGCCCTGCACACAGCTCCAGTGCTGCTGGGCCTTGTTCCTCTTGCTGCAGCTGGGCAGGAAGCCCCAGCCCTGTTTACTGCCCCGCTTGAGTGCCCAGTTCCCTCCTCTCGATGGAGAGTCACCAGACCCTGTGGAGGAGCAGGCACAGAGGTGGGGCTGCAGCACCTCCCTGCAGGGCAGCTGCAAACCTCCCCATCCCCAGACGGAGAAGAAGGAACAGAAAAAGAAGAAAGGTTCAGTTCCCCAGCCTGAGCTCTGTGCCACCTCCTGCAGACGCCCAGCCTGCAGGGACCTCCTGCCTTGGGCAGGGGCTGCTTTCATTGCCCCAGAGCCCCTTCCAGGTCCCTGCTGCCCTGTTCACATTCAGCATCGACACCTCCGCAGGCAAATCCTCCCTTCCAGCCCCATTCCATTTTGTTCCAGGATGAGATGCCCTTTGTCCTGGCTGGGCACTGGCTGTGTGCCTGGCACAGCTTTGTGCCAAAGCTTTGCTCCCCAGGTCCTGTTGGTATTTCCAAAGGAAGACCAGGCTGGGCCCAACCTGAAAGCCCTCACACCACTCCGAGTCAGGGGTTCCACTGCAGCCACAAGTGGGCTGAACTTCCTCTGTCCTCCCCCAAAATCATCATGAGAGCCAAATTCAAACCCTGCAGCCTTGAATCCATGCTGGACTTGTGTGGCACCAGAGGAGCCCTTTAAATGCCCTTTGTCCCATGGGCACACATTTCCCTCTGAGGTGGGATCTGCTGCAGGTTCTTGTAGCTGTCCCTGCACCAGGCAAGAGGAGCTGGGAAGGGACAGGAGCCATGCCCTGGCTTTTGCTGCTGCTTCTCTAAGGGGATCAGCGCAGGGATGTGCACACAGACTCCATATATCACCCCAAAAGCCTTTTTCCTCCCATTTCTCCTCTGCTCCTGAGCACTGAACCCTACAGAGCAGAGGCCATAGCCTTGGCGATGTGCCAGCCTCATTCCCAAGCCTCTGAGAGTAATAAATGGCTAATAAACCTCAACGACACTTCTTTCCTGCCACCTGCAGCCCCAGCCAGGCTGGCTCTGCACCCGCTCGGCCAAAGCCACCTGCCTGCCCCAGGGTGTTCTGTCTGCACACCCCAAGGGAAGCAGAACCCAAACCCAAGGCAGGCACCAGGCTCTGAGTCCTGTGTGCCCTCCTGGGCTCCCTGAGAGGCTCCCAGCACAGAGCAGGACTGAGAGAGACCAGCACAAAACTTAAAATTATTGCTCTGAGAGGCAGAGGTGGGGTGAGCCCCCAAGCAGGGGACACAGCCCAGGCCATTGTCCTGGCTCCTTGCTCTGAAGTGCAAACCCCATTTGGTGCCTACCTGTGAGCAGAGCCAGCAGCCAGAGGGTCACCAGGAGCAGCCAGAGCCTCGTGCCCAGACCAGCCATACCTCAGTGCCCAGGGCAGGAAAACATCCAGCCTGTGCTTCTGCAGAAACAGCGGCTGCTCCCACCACCCTGGCCCCAGTACCTAAAAATGGCAACGCTGCTGCTCTGTGCTCGGCCCCTTTCCTGCTCATGTAAATCCGCCCCGCGGGGGACTTTCCCTCGGGGCTGGTTTTGAATGCGGCGCAGACGCTGGGGCTGCCGTGCCTGTGAGCCCCGGGTCCCTGGGCATTGTTCACTCTCCTGTCCCTGGGCTTCGTCCATCCTCCTGTCCCTGGGAATTGTCCATCCTCCTGTCCCTGGGCTTCATCCACCCTCCTGTCCCTGGGCATTGTCCATCCTCCTGTCCCTGGGCATTGTCCATCCTCCTGTCCCTGGGAATCGTCCATCCTCCTGTCCCTGGGCTTCATCCATCCTCCTGTCCCTGGGCTTCATCCATCCTCCTGTTCCTGGGCATTGTCCATCCTCCTGTCCCTGGGCTTCATCCATCCTCCTGTTCCTGGGCATTGTCCATCCTCCTGTCCCTGGGAATTGTCCATCCTCCTGTCCCTGGGCTTCATCCATCCTCCTGTTCCTGGGCATTGTCCATCTCTGTGTCCCTGGGCACTGTCCATCTCTAAGTCCTGGGCATTGTCCACCCTGGTGTCCCCCACTGGCTCCCTGTGCCAATATTCCCTGGAAGTGGTCAGGACTGGACCTGCAGCAGAGCTGGGGATGAGCTCATCTGCAAAGCAGGAGGTGCCAAACATGGCTGAGCACGAGATGAGCCCAGGGAATGGGATTGGTGCTGCCTGGCCACATCTCTGGGGGACAGGATGGGGGTGACCCCCAGGGGTTCCCCCCAGCTCCACAGATTCCCCCAGAGTGTTTGGTCCTGAAGGGAATAGGCAGGGACTGATGGTGGCCCAGAAGCCAAGAGTTGCAGTGGGAATGGGATAAGAATAGGGGATGTTTGTGGGGTTGCTTGTTGTGGGATGCAGTGGGATCGGTCCCTCAGCTCCCACCCCTACATTCCAGGGGGTCCAGAAATTCAAAATCATAGAAGCATGAGTCAATCACAAAATCATCATGGTTTGCAAAGACCTTTGGATCATCAGCTCAGCAGCAGCACCATGACCACCACTAACCCTTGCCCTCAAGTGCCACATCCACACATTTTTGGAGCACTTCCAGAGAGAAGATGAGATGGGGAAATGGCCAAAACAAGGAGTCACTTGGGTACCAGCCATGCCCACCCCTTCTCTGCTTCCAAGATCCTTCTCCAAGGAACCTTTGAGACAGCCAGGCCCCAGGGAAGCACAGTGAGGCCCCCAAGGTGAGCTCTGGTGCAGGGCACTTTCCCCCAGGCTCTGCCCCCCTGGTTGTTGCTCGTTAGCAGCTGTGGGTGAGCACTGAAGTGTAACTCCAGTGAAAAACACCTTTGGGTACTTCTGCCAGTCGTGTTGGTCCCTAGAGCCTGGTGCCACTGCCCGGGGCCTCCCCAGACCTTCATCTTCTGCAAACTGGGTGGGTTTTTTGCCTGTTCTGAGCATCTGATGGGTGCTGGGAACCAGCCCCAGCCTCACTTTGCATGCAAAGGGACAGGAAGCAAGAGAAATAAAGTTTTCCAGAGAAACAGTGGCTCCATGAGGGAATGATGGGAGAGGTGCCTTCGCTTGGTTCTGTATATAGGGGCATTGCTGCCAATTCCCTGCTGCCATCACCCCTGGGTCTGGATGGAAAAGCAGAGCCTGGCCCTGATATCCCAGCAGGGCAAAGGGAAAGGGATGCCCACATGCTTGGCAGGCATTGGAGGGGTTTTTCTGGGGCTCTGGAGGTGCAGATGGAAGCTGGGGTGCTGGAGGTGCCTGGGAAAGACCTGTGAAAACCAGGAGTGGGGCACAAACTGAATAGGGTTTGCAGTGCCAGTGGCCAAATCAGCCCCTGTGCTGCCCGAGGGCTCCTTGGCACCCTTGAAAGGCACTGAGGGGCTCGGTGTCCCCTGGAGACCCTTGTGCTTGCAGCGACCACGACGTGGGGTGTAGGGGAACCTGGTGGCCCCACAGGGAGGGTCCCATGTCCCCGTGCCTCTTTCCCTGGGCCACTCTGGCTCCCAGAGCAGAGCCACTGCGGGCAGCGGCACCTTCCACACCTTCCCCAGCCCCTCCCTGCTCAGCGGGGTTTGGGTTTCGCCGTGCCCAGCCCCGGGACGAGCTGTTCCTTTCCAGCGGCAGCGAGAACAGCGGCCGAGCCGGGCCAGGGCCCCGGGGACGACAGCAGGGCCCGGGGCGGCTCCTCTCGCTGACGCAGACCCTCCCTCACCCACCCGTGTCCTCTCCCGGCGATGCTCGCCTGCTCCCTCGTGGGTGCTGGGGTGGGGTTGGAGCCTGTGTGGATTGAACCTCCTCCCAACCCTCCTCTGTCCTTGGTGGAGCCCACAGCAGCGTCTCCTGTGGCTCCCGGCAGCGGCAGGCACCGAGGACTCCAGGGGATGGGATCAGGAGCAGGGCAGAAGCTCTGGGAGCGCGCTGGAGGTCCCAGGGGACAGCCCTGGGGGCTTCTGTGCAGGATGAGACCCCCAGATCCTCCTGAGGTTGGCAGGTCCGAGGCTGAGCACAGGGAGCCAAGGGAGGGGGTGTTCATCCCTCCTGGCACAGGAAAAACATTCCTCGCCCAAGAAACCCCAACACACTTGCTACTGTAATAACAGAATAATTTACTGTTGTTTATTGTAAGAAATGTACAAAGAAAAACGGCTTTAGCTCACACAAACCCTGCTCTGGGGCATTTCCCACCCCCGACGACACAAACGTAGAAGCAGCATCGATTGTGAACCACGGTACGGGCAGGGACTGCCATGCCAGGGGTGCTTCCCACGGAAACGCCGGGACAGCAGCTCCGGCTCCTGCTGCAGGGAGCATCGGCATGGAAATGAGGGCACACGGCCACGGGACAAGCCCAGTGTCCCCGGCTCTGCCACCCGGCTGGCAGCTCATGGGCCCAAGCCAAGCTCAGCACCGCTCCTGGCCGGCCTGGCCGTGGGGCACCTGTGATGGCAGTGCCCAAAGCAGCCCGGGAAGAGAAGAGAATCATCAGAGTACAAAAAGACAGAGCCCTTGGCTTCAGGAACGGCCTTGTTTGAACTGGAAGAGGTTTTGGTTCATGTTTGTTTTGATCTCAAGAGGGTTTTTTTCCCTTTTGAAAGCAGAAGGTGGTCAGAGGTGAACTCGGGGCCTTTTGCCCATTTTTCACAGAATCACAGAATAGTTTGGGTTGGAAGGACCTCAAAGCCCACTCAGTGCCACCCCTGCCATGGGCAGGGACACCTTTCACTATCCCAGGGTGCTCCAAGCCCTGTCCAACCTGGCCTTGGACACTTCCAGGGCTGGGGCAGCCACAGCTGTGCCCAGGCCATTTTCCTTGATTTACTTTCCTTTTGCTCACCTGTGTGAAGAACAGCAAATCCCTTTTCCCCCTGGAAAAATGCTCCTCTGCCTGGAGATTTCCTGGTGAGGACCTGCCTGGCCCATCCAGAATGTGCCACTGGGCCTCTCTGCAGCCCCAGTCTAGGGGAGGATGTCTGCATGAGGATTTTGGGATTCACACCCCAGTGGGATCATTTATTACATGCAGCCACCTGGGGTTTGGGTGGGATTTAGGGCACACCTAAAGCAGTTCATGGAAAGGATCATTCAAACATCTGCTCCGATCCCTGGGCATGCATCTCATTAATTAACACTAATGAAGAGGACATTTGGATTTCCAACCTAGATCACTCCAGTGGATTGGTTCCTCTTGCAACACGGATAGAAAAAATCCTGGAGAGTTTTGTCCTTAGGACCAGGGATTCTTGGAGGATGTTTTCCAAATTCTACTTTTGCCCACTGCTTTCCTGCCACAAAACCTGGATGGAAATGGGAAAACTAAGTAAAACCTGACTATAAATAGTGTTTACATTCAGTCTATAGAGACCTGAATGATTTCTGCTTTCAATGCATATTCAGAGACCTTGAAAACATGATATTTAACCCTGAGAACAAATCTGCAGATGCTTTGCTTTGGCTTTGCTAACCAATTTTTAAGACATAATTGCACTTTCTCTTGTATGTAACAAAAAATAATCATCAAGCTTATTCAGAAGTTCAAAAGAAAGGTGCTACTTTAAGACTTTGGAGATTTTTGTTCACAAAACCTTCTGTTTTCTGTAATTATTCTTAATATTATTTCACTTGGCTCAACTGGTTGCCTGGCTGCACTCTGGAAGAATAAAATACAGGAAAATCTCTTAATTGTGAAATAACATTAATAAATAATTACTTTAAGTGAAAGGACAACCATACTCTTCTGTTCACGCCTGAAAACCATCGTTACCGTGATGAGATTATTTCAAAACTAACTGGTTTCTCTTTCACCGACAACAGATTTCACATTTGAGTTCTCATAAGAAAAAGAATTTAACTCTTTGCAAGTGCAGTGGGCGGTAAAACCCAGGATCAGGAGGAGATCCTGTTTTGAAATTCAAGGTGGTTTCTTGAAATATCTGAAATTAGCTCAGTATCTAAGATCTAGAGATCTGTGCATGGAAGAGCTTTGAACAGGAGATACAAATGAAGTCTCTTCAGGCTGGGTCAGAGGTGGAATCTCCTTGTGTTACACCAGCGACTCTTTCACCACGTGTTCCTTACCCCACGCCTGTGCTTCCTCAGGAGCATCCTGGGGTGTCTCTGAGCTGGGAATGGGCTTGAGGCCCAAGGCAGGGGCAGTCTCCACATCTGTCCCACTGTTCCCATAGATCTCCTGCATTTTGGTGGCTATCAGCCCTTCCTTCTCGGGCGCGTCCTCGCCCAGGGTGTCCTGGCTGTGCCTGTACATGTAGGACGCCTGCTTCACCGAGCGCCTCAGGAGATACCTCCGGAAAGCCCTCTGGATCTTGGTAGCACACACCTCCTCGTGTTTCCTCTTCAGGGTGGTGGTGATGGGTTCATAGGAAACCTTCGAGGGGTTGGCAGCCATGAACTTCTCCTCCATGGTGGCCTTCAGGGCATCCATCTCTCCCGAGTCTCCCAGCACTTCCTTAGTCAGGGCAAAGAGGATGTCCAGGCAGTGGATTTTGTCCCCAGCAACCATTGGTAGATCCATGGTGATGAGTTTGATCTTGTTGGGCTTGGGAACTCTGAGTGGCTCCTGCAAGGTGTCCACAAAGTCAGACAAGGTGCTGTAGGCAATGAACTGGGTGGCGTCTGGGTCAAACTTCTCCCAAGTTTCATAAAACATTTCAAAATCATCTTCACAGAGGGGCTCGCTGCTCTCCTCCGTGGCCACGCTGAAGTTCTCCAGGATGATGGCGATGTACATGTTCACCACGATGAGGAAGGAGATGATGATGTAGCTGCAGAAGAAGAAGATGCCGATGGCGGGGTTCCCACAGTCTCCTTTCACCGAACTCCCGGGGTTCTCCAGCTCGGGGTCGCAGTCCGGGGGGCCGCTGTTGAGGATGGGGTTGAGGAGCCCATCCCACCCCGCCGACGTGGTGATCTGGAAGAGGCAGATGATGCTGTTCCCAAAGGTTTCGAAGTTGAAGATGTCATCAATGCCTGACTCCTTCTTGACGTAGGCGAAGTTGGACATGCCGAAGATGGAGTAGATGAACATGACGAGGAAGAGCAGGAGGCCGATGTTGAACAGGGCGGGCAGGGACATCATCAGGGCAAAGAGGAGCGTCCGGATGCCTTTGGCTCCCCGGATCAGCCGCAGCACGCGGCCGATCCTCGCCAGCCGGATGACCCTGAAGAGGGTGGGGGACACAAAGTACTTCTCGATGATGTCTGAGAGGACGATACCTGCAGAGGAATGAAGGACAGATGGGTTTGCTGTGCCACCAGTGGGAGGCGAAGGGGAGCTGCTCGGCTCCATCTGGGCAGACACCTCGATGGGTCCTCCAGTGACAGGTAAAACATTAAAAAATAACCTCTGAGCACAGACCCAAGAGATAAAATCTGGCTGCTCTGTTTCAGAGAAGGAGAACACCAAGGGAAATAAAACCAAGGAGTGTGGCAGCAGCTCTCTGGCCACAGAGAGAAACAGACCTTTCCCAGGCATTGTTCTGGGAAAGGCTGTGAGAAGATCAGAGAAAAGAATAAGAAATAATTCTTGCTTTCACTTGCTGCACCTGGTATTGTGAACATGTGGGACGTGTTATGGAGATTTGTTTACCACAAGGATGGTTTCTTAACTAGCCAATGGTGATAGTGTTTGAATTAGAGGACCAATTAAGTCCAACTGTATCATAACTATCTATAATAACAATAAGATTCTTAAAATAAAGATTATTACTAATCAACCTTCTGTGAATAATAGTCTATACTAATTACTACCCACCTGGGGGCAAGTTACAACGATAAAGGAGGAGCAGAGATATCCCCAGCCCCTCACCCAGCCTAGTGGCCTGGAGTGGCCTCACATCTGTCATGTCCTGGGTCCTGCTGGCTTGGCCCTGCTCAAAGGATGGGTGCAAGTGGGGTCCAGTGACACCTGGTGGGTGTGGATTGGTGAGACCACTTCCACTCTTCATTGTCCTGTGGGATCCCTGAGGGACTGGTGGGAGCAGCAGGACTCACCTAGGATGGAGAGGATAACTACCACGAAGTCGAAGATATTCCAGCCCACAGTGAAGAAGTAGTGGCGCAGGGCGAACATCTTGAGCACGCACTCCCCAGTGAAGATGACGATGAAGACCAGGTTTATCTTGTAGAGGACAGAGGTTTTGAGCTCGCTCTGGTCATCTGTTTCCACCATCATGGTCACCATGTTCAGGCAAATCAGGATCATGATGGTGATGTCAAACACTTGTTTGGTAACAAAGTCAAACACCTTCCCTTGGAATTTGTTCTGCAATGAGGGACACAAAGGTGATGATGGAGCACCAGAGAAGAGGTGAGAACACAGAACAAACACAACAAAACAAAAACACAACAGAAAGAGAACAAGGAACCATATTTACAAGTATGGGAAACCTCTTACAGCCCTAGAAGTTATGGGGGGAGGATTCCCAGTGCCTCTCAGGATGGAGCACACCTGGGAATGCCACAGCCAGGAGAATCGGGCACAGGACACAGCCACTTGCTAATTACACCCACAGCTAATAGGGCACAAATGAACACATGGGAAGGACCTCCCTTCTGCAGGGCTACAAAACTCAAATGACAACTGAGAATGTTTTGGCTGCACCAGAGTCCCTTCTGGGGGCTTGAAAGATGAGCTTTCCCTGAGCCAAACTCCCTTCCAGAGAGGAGCTGGGAACCCAACTAGGAAAAATCCCAAATTCCTGCAAAAGAAACCCCATTACTGCCATTGCTAGCAGACCAAGGGCTAAAGGGCAGACCCAAAGGAGGTGGCCTGATGTCAACCTATTCTGAAGCCCCAGCTCTTGGCTAGGTCCTGTCTGAAGAGTAACAATGGGGCAAATAGTCTTCCCTGGACCCTTCTCATTCCCTCTGGGACAGCTGGTGGCTTGAAGAGTTCCCTGCATGCTCCACTCCGGGAGGATGAGCCCAACATACCGCTGGCCTGGGGATGGGCTTCTGGGGTTTCTTGGAGCCCAGCTTCTTCATGGCGTTGTAGTATTTCTTCTGCTCTTCTGTCATGAAGATGTCTTTGCCTCCAAAGTATAAAGGGAATCACTGCTGTTAGTCTCAGGAATTCTCTTCCCACCAAGTGTCTGGCCATGTCCCTTCCCACCAACTGTCTCCAGCCCCTCAGAGATCCTGCTGGGAGCGAGGTGTCCTCTCTGTGTCCTGCAGACCCTGCTCAGCACCACCAGTGTGCGTGGCCCTGCCCAACCTCCTCCCCTGCTCCGGGCTGGCAGTCCTGAGCTACTGGCTTGGAAGGAGAAGTTGAGTCTCAACCTTGTGCATGGGAAAATGATCCCAGGGTAGGAAAAGAAAATAAAAGTGATGGCCCAGGCAAGAGACAACACAGCCTCCGTTTGCTTCCTCCCTCTGCACCTGTAAATTAAGGCCTCTGTAACTGCTATGACCAGGACACAAAGCTCCACGTGCCTTTTGCCCAGTGCAGGAAGCCACTAATGGATGAGAATCCTGGATCCATCCTAGTCCCGCATGGTGGCCCTGGTCCCATCACCCCACTGCTGTGCTGGCCCCCTCCAGCCCAGGACAGCACCTCAGGAGCCAGGAAATACTCATCTTTTTCTTCTGCTGGTTGAAGTTGTCGATGATGACGCCTATGAAGAGGTTCAGAGTGAAGAAGGCACCAAAGATGATGAAGATGACGAAGTAGATGTACATGTAGAGGTTGATCTCATACTGTGGCTGCTCTTCAATCTGGCCAGGAGACACAGGAAATGTGAGACTGACCCTGTCCCAAAAAGGTGTCCCCAAGCCCTCAGACAAGGGCTTGTGGTGTTTGGAAAGAGCCAGGGCGTGCCTGCTCCGAAACTTTTGACTGTGTGTTCCCAGCAGGAGCAGCCAAGGGAAGGGACATCCATGTGACACTGACTGAGGGACAAGGACATACTGCCCCCTGATCCCACAGCATGGGCTGGGGACTGGGAAACGATGTTCTTTGCAGTGATATTAGTGAACAAATTTGTTTCCTTCCCAATAATCAGCACTACAAGGGCTGAAAAATTTCTGAGAGGAGAAAGGAAAAGTGAATTAATTTGTCACACCAGCACAGCTGGGTGACAGATACTACAACCCTGGACAATGCTCCTCATCCCAAGGACCATCCCTTAATCCTGCTCTGTGTTTGACCAGGGGCACCCCAAGATGATCCCATTGGATTCCCCCATTTTGAGGAAAGCTCTTGGCAGGACAGGGGAGATTTTCTCCCAAACCGTCTTTGCCCCAGGCCTGAGGGAGTTTCAGAGGGTGATGAAAGGGTGCTAAAAAAAGGCAATGAAAACCAGCCCTCGAGGCCTGTAGGTGTGTGGGGTGACCCCCAGTGTAATTGGAGAACAGTAGGAAACCCCTTCTGCTGTGGAGACACTTTTGGAGGTGGATGACAGTAGGAACAGCCTTTGCACATCACTCTTCAAACACTTGGGTTTTTAAATAATTCTTTGAACCCCATGGTTGAATGCTGGCTGCTCTGTTCTCATAACCCACTGATTGCTCAACACAAGCCAGGAACTTTCTCCAGGATGGGGTAAGCTTTCCCAGCTAGAGGGGTCACAGAGGACGTCATGTCACAGCAGGCAGAAGAGGGCACCCTCCAGGCTGGAGCAGTGGGGGCAGAATGGGGATTTTGGCCCCAGGAACTGAAGCTGAGTGGAACAGATTCAGCCCCAGCTGTGGGGTGGGGTGGGAGCCCAGTGTGGGGCCAGGCTGCAGGTGACAATGACATGGGTGGCACAGGGACACATGGCTGCCCTCTTCGAGGCTGTGCACCTCAGCAGGGGGAGGTTGTGGCTGCCCAGGTGTCCAAGGCTGGGTTGGACAGAGCTTGGAGCACCCTGGGCTAGTGGAAGGTGTCACTGCCCATGGCAGGGGGAGGCACTGGATGGGCTTTAGGGTCACTTCCAACACAAACCATGCTGGGGTTCCATGATCTGATATATTTTGGAGGTTTCTCCTGTAACCCATGTCCTGGCTGAAGTAGTGGGTGAGATCCAGCACCAAAAGGCAGAGCCAGAGGTGATGCCACAGCCAAGGATCCATCTCAGCCTCAGTTCTGGGTCCTGTTCCCAGTCTGCCATGGGGAATCCACCCCTGGAATCAGCAATGTGTGCCTGTGTGTCCCCTCACCTCACGTGAGTCCACGGCCGCATACATGATGTCCATCCAGCCTTTGAAGGTTGCCTGTGGGAACAGGAATGGTCAGACCTGGAGTCTGTTCCAACACAAAGGATTCTGTGATTCTGTGGCAGTGGAGGAGAATGTATTTTCTGGGACCTGTTTGTGGCTAGGGAAAAAGGGAAGGTGATGGGTTCATGTCTGGAGTTCAGGTCTGAGCACTCCGGCTTCTCTGTGGGAATGTCAGGAGAGGAACGGGAGTTGAATCCACATGAAAGATGTCCCAGAAATATGGAAATTCCCATATGAATATACATAGACCATTCTGGGGCTGAGGCTACCAGTGACTTCCCAAAACACCACTGCAAACAAGACAAGGAAAAGAAGGAATTGACTCTTTTCTCCCTTCTACTCTCTTTGAAGTCATTTTCCCAAATGCAGAGCTGTGCCAGGGCCAGCTGCCTCCTTTCCAGTCCCAAACTGTGCCACCTCCATAGCCCTGACTTCCATATCCTACCTCTGGTTCTGCTGAATTCCCATCCCAGCAGGGTGGGGGGACCACACCAAGTCTTTTACAGGGTCTCCACTGCATCTCTTACAGCCTTTTGCTGCTGATTTGTTAAACAAAAGGTCTGCACATTTTGTTTCCTGAATCTGATGGAACAACAAGGCTGAAGAGGAAGCTGATTTTAGAAGCAGAGTCATCAGCTGGGGTTGTTTTCCGATTCTGCAGCCGCCAGTTCCCCTGGATCTGATGGGAGTAGCCCCAGCCTGCCCCACAATGGAGCCCACATCTGTATTTTTATCAAAGCTGTGGTGAGCAGTTCCCCTTTGCTGCCTGGCCCAGCTGTGGGGAGTTCAGTGGAACCCAGCTGCCTTCGCCCACTGCCCACAGGGGACACGTGTGCCCTTTTTCCAATCGTCACCCGCCCCACACAAAGCCCCACAACCTACAGCTGGAGCAGACTGAACTTTCCAAAGGGGTGCAGGGGTACGATAGAGCCTCCCCTCCTGACTCTACTCCCCGTGCTGGGCAGGAGCTGCTCTGCAGCACCAGCCTTGGTGCTGCTGCACCCATCTGCAGCAGCTCCCTGGTGAAACCTTCAGCTCCCGTCTTCTACCCTGTCCCTTTTCCTCCTTGGCTAGAAGTTTCCCTCCTTTACTAAGGGGTTTTTTTTTTGTGTTTAAAAACCAGCTTTGGAGCCAAGAAGCAGCTAAGAAACCTCATCACACATCAGCCCTGATGCTCATCCCACCACCCTGCTCCACCCCTCCTGGACGGTGACACCCGATGTTGTGACGTACCACCTGCAGCAAGGACAGGTATCCCAAGCCCACGTTGTCAAAGTTGACCTTGACGTTGACCCATCTGACCTCGTTGGTGTAGAGCAGGGCCATGCAGTCGCTCTTGTTGTTGACCACGTCGATGTCGAAGAGCTCCCCGGTGGTGGTGTTGACGCACCTGTAGTACTTCCCTGCAAACAGGTTCACGCCCATGATGCTGAAGATCAGCCAGAAGATGAGGCAGACCAGAAGGACGTTCATGATGGAGGGGATGGCACCCAGCAGGGCATTCACCACCACCTACAAGGAGAGAAAAACCCTTGGGGCACCTGGATGGGACCTTCATGTCCCTATGCCCAACCTTGCCCTCCCCAGCAGCACTGAGTGAGGTCAGACTGGAGCAAAGGTACCTTAGCATTGATCCCACCAGTCTGGAGGCCCCTGAAAACCTACTGGGATGTCCGTGATGTAGAGGACTGCTGAGGGCTCTCATGTCCCTGTCAGGGCCAGCAGTACATGGGGACACACTTACCCTCATGCCCTCAAACCGGGACAGAGCACGCAGGGGTCGCAGAGCCCTCAGTGTCCGCAGGGATTTGATGGCTCCCAGCTCGGAATATCCCAGCCAGTTTGCTGTCAGACTGACCAGGGACACCTGGAAGGAGCAGCCCAAGTGATCAGCAACACCTCAGGTGGAAACACAGCTGCAGCTCCTGCCCTGCCCTCTCTCCCCAGTCCCTCAGGCTGGTGGTCATCCTCTAGCCTTGGGACACAGACCTTGAGTACTTGGGGTCCCTGGTGACCAGACACCTCAAGGGTCACAGAATCCCAGAATGGTTTGGGCTGGAAAGGACTTTAAAGCCCATCCAGTGCCATCCCCTGGCACGGGCAAGGACACCTTTCACTGTCCCAGGTTGCTCCAAGCCCCGTCCAGCCTGGCCTTGGACACTTCCAGGGATCCAGGGGCAGGATGACACCTCTTGAGTGTGAGGGTGGAATTGACGTGGGGCATAGAAAGGACAGATTGCTCTGTCACAGACCATTTGGGAGACCCTGTGTCCCTTCACAGCTCTACTGGGCCTGGTGGAACTGCAGGGGCTGTTCTTGGCTTGGGTATAAAACAGAAGGGTTTGAAATGTTCCTGCAATCGGGAATGAAGTGTTCCTTCCCGTGGGGGACCATTATTTTGAGAAATGCTATAAGCCCTCATTCCACAGCCATCCCTTTATCCTCTAAAATACAATCTGGGTTCATTTACAACAGCCCCTAATGCCCCCAGGCCCCTTGGCTTGGCCCTGCTCATCACGTACATCCACAATGAGGAAATCCAGCCAGCACCAGGCATTGGTGAAGTACACCTTGAAGCCATAGGCCACCCACTTGAGCAGCATCTCGATGACGAAGATGTAGGAGAAGACCTTGTCTGCATATTCCAGGATGGTGCGGATCACCTTGCGCTGCTCGATGTAGATGTCCTCGAAAGCCTGCAAGGGGCACGGAGCTCTGTGACAGTTCCATCCTTCCATGGGACCCCACGGAGCTCTGTGACAGTCCCATCCTTCCATGGGACCCCACGGAGCTCTGTGACAGTCCCATCCTTCCATGGGGCCCCACGGAGCTCTGTGACAGTCCCATCCTTCCATGGCATCCCAGAGCACACATGTGCTGGTATCTCCCTGCTCTCCAGGGCTAGGGAAGCTGGGAGCTGAAGGATGGCTGGTCCATGAGGACCTGATCCACGTGGGGTCCAGCTCCTGTTTGCAGGTCCTTGTTGGCTTTGCGGGGCTGGACCCAAAGCAGAGCTTCCCTGAAGCCACAGTCCAGCTGCATCCAATTCCCAGGTGTCTCAGCTCAAACCCCAGGACACCAACCCACACCTTGGGATGCTCTGGGAGTTTTGAAAATGCCCTGAGGAGTTTGGGTGAGTGCTACACCCACGTCTGGAGTAAGCACTTGGAGGTATGGGTGTGGTGACCAGGTGCTGCACAGCTGGGGTAGCACAGCTTTCAATTCCTGCACCAGCTACAACCTCAGACATCCCCAACCACCTCAGAGCAAGCTGCAGACATGTAAAGTGTGTCTGAAAAGCCTCTCAGTCCCTCTGTTCTCCTTCAAACCTGCAGAGAAGTTGGTATTTCCTGGGTTAAATCCAGCCCAAACACTCAGAGAAGAGCACCAGGCCAACTCTGATAATTAATTTGATTTAATACAACAGCCAGGTTCTGAGAGGGGGCACCAGGCACTGATGGAGGTGCTGAACAGCAAAATAAAAACCATGAACTGTTTGTCCAGCACCTCCTGACAGCCAGTGCTGGTGGTGGTGAAATGAGGAACCACACGAAGCTCAGTAAATTGCTCAGATGGTTCATAGTTGGCATTAAGAGCAGGAGTGGGGGCTGTAGGCAGTGGCATCCCCTCAAGCCATGGACACTGGACCACAGCCTGTGGATGATGGTCCAGGAATGCTGGGGAGGGTGACCAGGACTCCTGGAGGACATTACAGCTGAGCCAAATGGGGGTTGAAATCAAACATCTGCCCACAGCTGGATTATTTGGCACAGGAGATGCCCAGATTGGCTCTGTCTCCTCCCTGTGCTCCCTCAGGCTGGGAAGAGCCCTCGGGGCAGGGGAAAGGTGGCACCTACCAGTGCCCCACTGCTGAGGAGGATCATGAAGACGATGAAGGTCTCGAACCAGTCGTGCTCCACAATGCGGAAGCAGGTTTTCCTGAGGTTCCACCAAATCTTCCCCTTCTCACTGGTGATGTCCACGTAGAGGCAGGGGAACCTCTTCACACAGCCTGGGGACACAGGGCTGGGGGTCACTCCTGGCCGGGGTGTTCCCACTATTCCCAGTTTTATTGGCATTTTAAACCCTCCCTGGTGAAAGCTAGACCAGGATCCTGCTGGGCTTAGGTGGGGTGCACGAGGGGAGCACCATGGGGATCATCTCTGGGGTGGGACAGGAGGATTTGGAGTCGGGGCTGAGCTCAGGGAGCCTGGAGGTCCCTGTGCTGCAAGAACTGGTTGGCAGTGACCCCTCCACCCCCGTTTTCCCCTCTCCACACCCATCTCCCCTGTCCCCAGGGTCTCCAGCCCTGCTCTGTCCCTCACCCTCAGTGAAACACTCCTCGGGCTCGTTGCTCTCCTCAGCCACCTCTGCCACTTCCTCCTCCTCCGGCGCGGGGGGTTTGTAATCCACCGTGCTGCACACGGACGAGGCATCGCTGGACAGGGGGTTCAGAGGGACTCCCTGCAGAGGGACAGCAATTCAGGCCAGGCTCCTGGCCTTGGGCTGTCTCCAGCCATGCTCCTCGTGTCCCAGAGAGCCCAGGCAGGGTCAGATGGGTGGTGGGACACCCTTATTTGGAGGATGACCTGAGTCCCCCTCCCATGGACACCCAGCCCAGAAGCTGTTGAATCATCCAGGGACGCAAACCTGGGAGGGTTTTTGGTACTTGAGCTTTGCTTCTCATCCAGGTTCAGAGGAACAAAAGGTTCCCCGATGCCAGCCTTCCTCTCAGCACAGCAGCTCCATCTCCCATCCACCTGTGCCACCACCTCAGGCTGATTTTCTTGCTGCCTCGTCCTCCTCCTCTGTGCGTCCCCATCCCAGATTTGCTCTGCCAACCCCCCCTTTAGTGCAGAAACCCAAGCAGCCTCTGCTCTCACCTTCCTCTGGCTCAGCTCGTGCTGAAGTGCCCTCAGCCCGAGGTTCACCCAAGTTCAAAACCTGCACCCCAAATACCTCTCTCCAGCTCCACCCTGCTCCAGAGCTCAGCTTGGCTGCCTTCCCAGACACACTCAGCAAGGCCAGAGGGGCTGATAACAAGAGAAAACCTTGGCAAGCCCTGGGACCCTTTTTCCTCTGCTTTTCTTTTGGCTTTCTGAGAACCTCATGCAACACTTGAGGAACGAGCAGATCCCCAGCCCTGCCTATCCTACCTGGGAGCAGCAGGAGCTGGAGGATCCAGGATGCATATTTCCAGCACAAGAAAGTGTTTGCTTACACGGGAAGGAGATAATCCTCCCCTCAGGCTGCTCCTATTTTTGGCAATCCATAAAGAAGCTGCTCCATCCTCCAAAAACCAGGGAAAAGCCCCTGGGGTAAACTGAGGCACCATCACTGCCCACAGCTTCAGGAGCCACAGCCTCATCTCTGTGAGAAGACGTGGCTGTGGGGGACCTTTGGGGACATGCAGGAGAGGACACAGCAGCAGGGGTGGCACCAGCTCTCAGCTGGTGGCCCTCAAGGACCACAGGGACCCTCAGATGAGGCTGGGGGGAGGGATGGGAAAGGCAGGGGGATTAGGGAGGCTCAGCACAGAGCCAGGCAAGCTGTGGCCCCACAGGAGCCATCTGCCTCCAGGACAGCCTTAGAAAGGGTCAAGGTGGGGACAAACCAGTGCAGCTGCCCTGGAGATGTGGGAAAGGCCCAAAAGGCCCTTGGATGGCTCACGGAACCCAGGAGTTCTGTGGGGAGCTCAGGGCAGGTTCTGCTGGGTGGGAACAGGGATAAAACCCATCCCTGGGGGCTCCTGAGTCCTCCCACACCTGGAACCAGCAGGTTTGGAGAGCAATGCCCATCCCACCTGGCACAGCATCTCCAGCCTGCCTGGGGCTTTCCCATCCTTGGTGCTGCACACCTGACTCACCCCATGGCCCCATAACCCACAGCCCTGAGAACCACAGAACTGTTCAGGTGGCAAAAGCCTTCTGAGGCCACCACTCACCATGTCCCCAAGTGCCACAACCACACGGCTTTTAAACCCCTCCAGGGATGGGGACTCCACCCAGCCATGGGCAGCTGGAAACCCCTTTCCATGCAGGAATTTCCCCTAATCTCCAATCAAACCTCCTCAGGCCCAGCCTGGGGCCGTTCCCTCTCCTCCTGTCCCTGTTCCTGGAGCAGAGCCCGACCCCCCGGCTGTCCCCTCCTGGCAGGAGCTGTGCAGAGCCAGAAGGGCCCTGAGCCTCCTTTGCTCCAGGCTGAGCCCCCCCAGCTCCCTCAGCTCCACTGACAACACCACTGTGCTGCACCAGAGCCTGGAGCATCTCAGGACACATCACCCTGCCCAGCAGGGTGGGATCCCCACGGAAGAAGCCCCTGGAAGAGCCCTGAGCCTGCACTGCTTCTGCAGAGCCACAGCCCAGGCTGGCACCTCCTCCCTGCTCCGAGCTGCAAAGGGAACTCAACCACAAGATGCAGAAGTGTAGCTGCGATGATCCTGCCCCTGCCATTTCCCCGAAAAAGAGCTTTTCCTTGGAAGGGTGCTGCTCTGGAAGGGGAGAGGATTTACCAGCGCGGCTCGGTCCCGGTGGGAGTGTCCCGGAGCGGGCGCTGTGCGGGGCTCTGGCTCCACCTGGAGCTGATCCCGCTGGGAACAGCGCGGGGCTGCCGCCCTGCCGCCCCCGAGTGCTAAATCAAACAATTGTCAATTCACCCTGTGAATGCGGGCTGGGAGAGCTGGGGGTGCTCACCTGGAGAAGGGGAGGGTCTGGGACAGTGCTGAGCCCCTTCAGGGCCTAAAGGGGCTCCAGGAGAGCTGGAGAGGGACTGGGGACAAGGGATGGAGGGACAGGACCCAGGGAATGGCTCCCACTGCCAGAGGGCAGGGATGGGTGGGAGATTGGGAATTGGGAATTGTTCCCTGGCAGGGTGGGCAGGCCCTGGCACAGGGTGCCCAGAGCAGCTGTGGTGCCCCTGGAGCCCTGGCAGTGCCCAAGGCCAGGCTGGACAGGGCTGGAGCAGCCTGGGACAGTGGGAGGTGTCCCTGCCATGGCAGGAGATTGGAATTAAATGGTCTTTGAGACTCTCACCAACCCAAATAATTTGTGATTTCATGATGAATTGCAGCCCATCATTCCCCCTGCCTGGGCAGGGCCCCTGTTTTTAATGCACCCCCTTGGCTCCCACCTGAGTCAGCTTTGACTGAATTTAGGCACCAAACCCAACAGCCCCGATGGGCTGAACTGGTATTAACTGGTTGAGAGTTGCCCTTTGCCTTTGCTGAGCTCAGAGTTTTTCCATGCAGAGTTTGGAGTGGGTGCTCACTGCTGAACTCACCCTAAAGCCCAGAGCTGTGCCAGGACGGGTCCCATAGCTGCACCCCAAGGTTTTCCCACCTCTTGGGAAGCACTTTGTGCTTACAGGGAGCTGAGGTCCTCAGGCACCCCCTGTGTCCCCTCCCATCGTGGCCAGGCTGGCACTGGCATCACCTCTGCAGTGTGCCCAGCGTGCTGAGCACTGCTGCTGTGGCACTGGGGCTGAGTAGGGAAATCGTGGGGGGGGATGCCAACTCTCAGCCCTCCTGGGGCAACCCTGAGGGAACTGAGAGCAGAAACCCCCCTGGCCCATTCCCTTGACCAAGGTGCTCCACGCAAGTTTGTCCCCTCTGTAGGGCTTGGCAGGGACAGTGGCCAGCCCCACATTTCCTCCTGTTCCCCTCTGCACCCCAAATGCTGAAATCTCCCCATTGCCCCAGATAACACTAAATAATCGTGACTGTCCCCTCTCCTTGCCCCATGTCATGCCAAGCTGGGTCCCTGTCACTGTGCTGAGCTGTGAGGAGCCTGCAGGTGGGAGGGAGGTGAGAGGCTCTGCAGTTTTGGGAACCCTGCTTCATTTTCCAGCCTTTCTGGGGCTCCCTGTGCAATCCCATCCTGGTGTGCAGCAGCACCAAATGCCTCCTGGACCTGGCAGGGCTGGTTGGGATGGCGCTTTCCAGAGTTCTCTCAGCTCCTGGAACACATTTGCCATCCAGTCACGACAAATCCCTGCTCAGAGCCGTCCTATTGTCCAAACAAAACCCCTTCCCAGGCTGATGCACCTGCTCCTGTCCTCCTCAGCACCTCCAGCTGCCCCCTGTGTCCCCAGGGCTGTGGGGGTAAGCAGTAATTTCCCACTGCACCATGCCCTTTTGTGTCCACTTGGGTCTTCCCAAGTTTCTTGTCCCCCTGCCACCCTCCCAGTGGACCCCAGCAGTCCCCTGGAGACTCAGCTGTCTCAGCTTTGGATCCCACACCCCTCCCTTCATGTTCACCCCTGCTAAGCTCCTCCATCTGGTTCAGGCCGCCCCAGGGTGATGCTTCCCGAGGCATTAGCAGTGGATCCAATGATAGTGCCATCAGCAGATTTCCTGGCATCGGGTTCCTCTGGGACATCTTTCACCCCAAACGGGCGCTCTGACCCTTGCATTGCCCCTGTGGTGCTGTGGCATCAGCAATAACCCCACAGTCTGACCCAAACCAGCCAAAGCCCTGCTTGGACCCTCCCCTCCACTCCAGCTTACACTGGGAAATGCCAGCTTGGACAATGCCAAGTTTGGCCCATGCCACGACCTGTGAGAAAGGTGAAAGTGACCCAAACCAACATCACTCCTTGGGCAGCACAGCAAGAACGGGCCAGTGCCAGTTTTGGGGTGAAACCCTCCCCTTCCATCCGCCTTCCTGACCTTGGTGGTGTCCTCGGTGTCAGACTGGGTGCTGGTCTCCTCATAGAGGTCAGACTCCTCAGAGGCAATGGGGACCTGCACTGTCAGGTTGGGGTTGTTGATGAAATTCATGTGGTCCAGCTCATCCATGAAAATGTGCTCCTTGCCCGTGATGCCATCCAGGTACCCTGACTTGGGCTCCAGGGCCGTGTCCACGTGGTTGAGCACAGAGTTGTCCCTCTTGCTGGGGTCCTGTTCTTCCTCTGGTGCCACCTTCTTGCCCTTCCAGAGCCGGCGCAGCAGCGCCAGGAGTGAGGCCTTGGCGAAGGCGATGCCGCGGGTGATGCGGCCGATGGCGATCTGCAGGTTGTTCATCTCCCCATCATCGTCCGACGCTGCCAGGCTGTCGGCGCTGAAGGAGCTCAGCAGCAGAGCCAGGAACAGGTTTAGCACCTGGGGGGACAAAGCAAATGCCAGCCCTGAGGTCCAGCAGGTCCTGAGCCTCAGGATTTCCCTCTGGAGCTGCAGGGATCACTGGTGACTGTGGAGAAGCCTCTTCACTGAGCATCTCATGGGCTCTGCCCTGCCCTCACCAGCTCTGGGGACTGCAGAGGTGCCAGTCCCAGTCCCTGGAGGACATGGACATGCTCCTCCTCAAACCCCCTGGGCTCTGATGCCTTCCACCTCACCCTGGGCTCCCATGGTCCTGCAGATCCCTCTGCAAATGATGCCAATCATGGTTTCAGCTCCTCTCAAGCTCTGCTGTGGATCTGTGAGTGTGTCCCTTCCTTTGGTCTCTTGGAGTTCCGAGAATCCCGTGAGGACTCCCCAAGTCTCTGGTGCTTCTCCCCACCAGCCCCAGGGATGCAACTCAGCTCTTGTGGCTGCTCCATCCCTGGAAGGGTCCAAAGCCAGGCTGGACGGGGCTTGGAGCAACCTGGGATGGTGGAAGGTGCACCTGGCCATATCACAGGGTGGGGCCGAGTGCTCTTTAATGTCCCTTCCAACCCAAACCAGTCTGGGATTCCACAGTTCTGTGATTATGTCCCTTCTGCCCTGAATGAAACCTCCTGCTTGTGCTCTCAGCTGCAGCTCTTCCTCTCCTCTTCCCTGCCTTTGGTAGATGCCCAGCAAGCTCCTGAGGGTCTCCCACCCCTGGGGCCATGGAGGAGCCTGGACCCAGCTGTGGCCCCATCCCTGTGTCCCAGACACTGCTGTGCTCCATCAGAGCGAGCTTTCACCTCAGCACGAGCCAGTAAACGCTCTGAGTAACTCCAAGCATGGGCTCGTGTGCTTCCCCTTCTACTGCACCATCCCAAAACGTGACTGGAGCCCACCACAGCCTCTCCTGGCACAGCTGGGGTTGCTGCCTGCCAGGAGCCAGGAGCAGCTCGGGAGCAGAGGGGTGGGATAGGCACCCCCGCGGGCAGAGCAGGGACGGAGCCAGCCCACAGCTGTCGGTGTTTGTGCCGTGCTGTGCGGTGCCAGCAGCGCATCTGAGACGGGAATTAGCTGCTATCCAAGGACACTGCAGTTTTCACATGGCTCATGCCATGTGCCTTAAACCACGTCTTTAAATAAATCCCCGCGGGCCCAGCAGTCGAATGTCCCCATTAAGTACCAGTTACAGTTAGTGGGTGCTGCTGGCTCTGGCTTTGTTGGGCAGGACTCCGTTACCTTGTCACCCGACTGACTTCCTCCCTTTTCCCTGAATAACCCCAAAGGAAATGCTCAAAGTGTCATTAAGAGCAAAGGACAGGTCACCTTCTTCCTGTGTAGGGGAAGCGGAGAAATACACACCTCCCTGCACGGGGAGACTTGGGAGCCTCTGGGACGTGCTCCAGGGCTCGGAAATACCTGAGGCATGGCCAGGAGAGCCTGGCAGAGAGGAGAAGGAGGGCACAGAGGGCTCTGGCCGTGTTTTTGCTCCGTGTTTCTCTGCTGGGCTGTAAATGGAGCCCATGCAGGAGCTGCAGATCTGCCCCAAGAGCTGGGGTGCACCTTTGGGAGGGGACACCTGCACCTCTGGGATGGGGACACTGGCACCTCTGGGATGGGGACACCCACACCTCCACACCTCAGGGAGGGCTGTCACTGACCCCACCAGCTGAAATTGTGCTGTCCCCGTGTCTTCTCCAGAGCAGTCCCCTGGAGAGGTGGGTGGACTGTGCTGTTCCAAAAAGGAGCTCCAGAAGAGGGAAACCTTCCAGAACCCCTTTTTGGGAGGGCTCTGCAGGGAGTCACAGCTGGAATTCCCAGTCCAAACTCCTGCACTCCCTGTGGATGGTTCTGGACAGGCTTCTGCTCTTACAGGTGCCCTTGTGGGTGATTTTCAGCCTGACCCAGCCTCACCATCCCCTGCAAAGGGGATCACAAGCAGAGGTGATGCAAAGGTGGCATCACAAGCCTTTGCTGGCTGGTGGGAGATGGGCAGCCAGGGGGGCACGGGGCTGCTCCCCTCATCTGCCCAGCACCACCCTGAGCAGGGTCTGCAGCCAGGGGCTCTCCCTTCAAAGCCGCAAATCCCTGGCATGAGCCAGGGAAGCCAAGAGGCTCCCAAATCCCAACTTTCTGTCCTTAAACTGGGACACTCCAAGCTGACCCGAGCCGGGGGCTGCTCTGGGCTTCTCCCAGAGCAGCTCCTTTCAGAGCCTCCCCGGGGAGAGGGGTCAGCAGCTCCCGGGGGCAGATAGTTTTTCAAAGCAAATTCCAAAGGGATTACACAATCCCGGCAAGTAATAGGAGCGAGTCGGCGCTTCCCTCGCCTGCCTTGCTCCTCAAGAAGGGAGAGCAGGGCCCACGCAGGCTGCAAAACAAGCTCCAGAGCTGCCAGCGATGGGGTTACCAAGTTTAGAAAGGATTTCACGCTCGCCTGGAACTCGCAAACCTGTGGCTCAGGCAGCACAGGCAGCCGGGGGGAGTGGGGAGGGTGGGGTGTAGGAGGGGGGTGAGGGGAGCAGGGGGTCCCACAAACTCAGGGAAGAAGTTTGGCCATCACCAAATGCCACCTGGAGCACGGTGGGGGCTGGGGAGGTTGGGGATATGGAGAAGCCTTGTGGGGGCAGGGTGGGGGGCTGCTTCCAAAAGCACCTGGAGCAAAGGGTGGAATGGATGGATGGATGGATGGATGGATGGATGGATGGATGGATGGATGGTGCTCTGCCTCCATCCCTCATCAGGAGGGTGGGAAATGGGGCAGTAAAGCTGGAAAAGCCAAGTGAAGGACAGAAGGCAGCTTGAAGCTAAGCTCTGTTTTATCCCAGAGTGGCTCCTGCCTCTGCCTAAAGCCCATTTGTGTTTTCTGTGCCTCAGTTTCTCCCCAGTTCCTGGTCTGGTTTCAGCTGGAGGTCCCTCAGGAATCATTCCTCCCTCTGTTTTACACAGAGCTGGCACAGCTGACCTGAAGGGCCTGGGGAGGGGAGAGAATCCCTGTGCTCCCTGCAGCTCCAAGCAGACCCTGCCACAGGCACAGCCCTGTGGAAAAGCTGAGCTGGAGAGAGGCAGCCTCACCCCAGCACCCCCTCTGTCCCCCAGGGAGGGGCCCCCGGCCCACAGCCTCACCACGAGGTTGCCGATGACCATGACCATCATGAAGACGATGAGGCACATGGTCTGGCCGGCCACCTCCATGCAGTCCCACATGGTCTCGATCCACTCCCCGCAGAGGATGCGGAAGACGATGAGGAAGGAGTGGAAGAAGTCGTTCATGTGCCAGCGGGGCAGGGTGCAGTCCACCGAGATCTTGCACACGCACTCGATGTAGCTCTTGCCGAAGAGCTGCATCCCCACCACGGCGAAGATGAAGACGATGATGGCCAGAACCAGCGTGAGGTTGCCCAGGGCACCCACGGAGTTGCCGATGATCTTGATGAGCATGTTGAGAGTGGGCCAGGACTTGGCCAGTTTGAAAACCCTCAGCTGTGGGGGGCAAGGAGAAAAGGGGGGTGGCTGGGGGTGTCATTGCCGCAGCAAGGCTGTGCCACTGCCATTTGACCCTCCGGGGCTGTTTGACCAAGGCAGGAGGGGTTAAACCCGCAACTGCTCTGACTCCAACTTCCCGAATATTGAACTTAGTCTTGTCTTTAACAGGACCAGGTTGGGCCCTCCCAAGCTGAGCCTCCACCATGAAGGAGCTGGACAAGCCACCCCCACCCTGTCCCTGTCACCGCCCAGGTGTCCATGGCACGTACCAGGCGGAAGGAGCGGAGCACGGAGAGCCCCTGCACATTGGCCAAGCCCAGCTCCACCAGGCTCAGAGTGACGATGAAGCTGTCAAAGATGTTCCATCCCTGCTGGAAATACTCATAGGGATCCAGAGCAATGAGCTTCAGGACCATCTCTGCCGTGAAGATCCCTGTAAAGACCTGTGGGAAGCAGCACCCTTGACCACTTGTTCATAAACCCAGTGCTGAGCTGTGGGGTGGGGTGGGCAGCATCCCTCTTTTTTGGTGTATTCCCAAAGCATTTCACCCTGTTAGGGCCAGTCCCAGTTGGGAACAAGCTCCCCAGGTGCTGCCCAGTGTGGCAGATTGGGAATACTGGTGACCGATTCCTCTGGAGGGACACAAAGGTGAGTGCTGGCAGCTAAAAATTAAAAATAAAATTTCCTTGGCAAGAAGACACCTTTGGAATGACTGGGAAATCACAGGTGTCCAGCACTGGGAACTGGGCTGCTGCTGGGATGCCCCTGTCCCTCCCTGAGCCCAGTGACAGCTGAGCTGGATTTTACACATTGCTCCTTTCCTGGGACCACAGCAGCACATGCAGCATTGTGTCACTGCAGAGAGGGCTCAGCCAGGTGACAGTCACCATCCCTGCTGCCATTCCACGGCACAGCACGTGCAGAGGGCCTGTGACAGATCTGCCCTGACTGGGGACGGTGTTGGGACAGGTCTATCCCCCACGGAGCAGGGAGGAGCAGCAGGGAGGCTCCTGCATCCCGGGGGTGTCCCCACATGTCCCTTGCATGCCAGCCCACAAATGTTCCTGTCCTGCTCCTGCAGCTGCATTCCAGGGGATTGTCCCCATATGTCCTTTGCATGGCAAGCCACAAACATCCCCTGTCCTGCTTCAGTACCGCAGAGGATTGTCCCCACGTGTCCCCAGCACGGCAGCCCACAAACATCCCTTGTCCTGCTCCTCCCAGCTGATCCCTGCCCTTGTCCCGTACATAGTGTGGTGGGGCAGGCAGCTCCTACCCCGGGCACAGGCAGGGGATGCGGGGCAGCCCCGGCTCAGGGGGATCTGCTCCTCCTGCTCCCGTCCCCACCGGGCCCTTCCCCAGCAGATCATCCCCCGGGCTGCCCCCGCATCCAGGATCCGCTCCTGGCTCCAAGGAAGCTCTGGAGCCGCCTCAGCCCGGCCGTGCCTTGAGCCCCAGCCCATTAATGCCCTTGTATTTCCTGGATGAAACCAGAGCCGGTCCCGCCCGCCCGGGCAGCGGCGTCTGTCACTCCAGGGCTGCGCTTCCAGAGCCCCGCAGGTGCTGGCGCAGGGCAGAGGGGGAGCCCAGGAGATGGGAGCGCTCCCATTCCTCAGCCCACCGCTGCCAGGGCCTCCCGCAGCAGATCCATCCAGCTCAGAGACATTTGTCACCAGCTCCAAGCAGGAGCAGCCACTAAATGCTCCTATAAAATCAGGACAGCCAAGATTTGCAGTGATTCCACTGGACAAATCCCTGATTATTATTAATTTTAATGCTGTGTTGTTGCTTCCTGCTCAGTGGGGACCTGTTTGCTCCCACAATCGAACACGCCCTGCTCTGCCCCGTGGCACCCAGCATTTCAGTGGGGACACTGTGGTGTCACCCAGGGCTGTGATGCAGAGGGTGGCTCAGGATGCACCGAGCCTGGCAGGGATGCAGCAGGAGGGGAGCAGGGAATGGTGGGTCCCAATCCCATCAGTGCCCTTGGGTCTGGGCCATGCCAGGGCCCAGCCCTGTGCAGGGATGCCATGGGCAGAGCCCTGCAGTGCTCTGTCAGCACCTGGGATGTGTCACACAGCAGCAGAGGGGATCTGCCCTCCGGGGTGGGGGTTTGAAAGGGAGGGATGGAGCTCCCTACCAGGTTCCCCACGGTCAGCACGTTCTCGAACTCTTCCGTCATGGGGTAGTGCTCCATGGCCATGAAGAGAGTGTTGAGCACGATGCAGATGGTGATGCCCAGGTCCACAAAGGGGTCCATCACTACCAGCTTGACAAACTCCTTCAGCTTCACCCATGGACGGCAGCAATTCCAGACCAGGAATGTGTGGGCAAATTTGTACCACCAGGGTGGGCATTTCTGGTGAGCTTCTTCCAGCTCTGAGGGTGGGAAAGGAAACGTGTGGGATTATCTTGTCCTCACCTGGGTGGGCAAGTGCTGACCTTCAGGAGAAGTTCCCCTGAGGTCCTGGACCAGCTCTGATCTATGATTTTAATAGCATGGAATATCCTGAGCTGGAAGCCACCCACAGGGATCATTGATCCAGCTCCTGGCCCTGCCCAAAGCCCCCAACATCCCACCCTGGGCACCCCTGGTAGCGCTGTCCAAACCCTCCTGGAGCTCTGGCAGCCTCGGGGCCGGGACCATTCCCTAGGAAGCCTGGGCAGTGCCAGCACCTCTGGGGGAAGAACTTTTCCCTGAGACCCATCCAAAATTCCCCTGGCACAAGCTCGTCCCCTTGTCCTGTCCTTGGTCACAAGCAGCAGAGATCGGAGCTGCCCCATGGAAGGAGCTGAGGTCTCACCTTCTTCTCCTCTTCTCCAGATGAACAATCAAGTGACCTGAGCCACTCCTCATATGGCTCCTCCACATCCTTCATCATTTTCTACGCCCTCCTTTGGACACTTTTTAAGACCTTTTTTGTATTGTGGCACCCAAAAAATACAGGGGCTAAAAGGAGAGCCTTCCCATGCCCAGGCACAGAGATGATGTAGACCTGGCCCTCCAAACTGGAGAGGGCTGGAAAGGCAGATCAGCCAGGGAACTGTGGATCCAGTCCTGCTCCCAGCCCCTGGGTGGGATTTGAGGTGTTCCTGCCACCCTGAGATTGCCAGGACATCCAGGGGACTGCTCTGGGCTGACCAGAGGGTTTCATGACTGTTCTCGGGGAGTTCATGCTGAGTTCATGGTGCTTTTTGCTGGAGCTGACACAGCAGCTCATGGGAAGTTGCTCAGCAGTTCCCAGTTGGCTCTGGAAATTCCTCTAATCAACTGCAATCCCTTTAATTTGTGTGAGATAATGGATTATTGCCTCCAGGCATCATCCCAGTGAGCTGGGATGAAAAGTCTGGCTTGAGCATCACTGACCCCATATGGAGACCCCAGGGCTGGAGTCATCCCTTGTGTGGGGCTGGGAATTTGGGACAGCCACTGTCACCAGCCCAGGCCCTGCAGCACTGACCAGGACCCTCACCCAACGAGACATACCTTCCACAGCATTGGAGATGACACTGATAGCACTTCCCACCCTCTTCTCCAGCCCTGGCCCATCTTGGTTGCCCACAGTGAGGTGGTTGAGGTCTGGCTTCTCCGGCTCATGGGTGAGGTTGAACTGGGAGGAGAGGAGGGAGGGGTACAGAGTTATTCCATGCTCTGAAAGACAGAGCAGAGAGAAAACAGGGAATGGTCTGGAGAGACCTCTGAGTGCAAGGTGGGCACCCCAAAAAGGCTTGTAGGACCCAACCCACAGCGAGGTGGGCACAAGCCTGGTGCCTCAGGAGGCTGGGCACCCTCAGGGATGGCAGGGGCAGAGCTGGCACCTACATCAATCACGGTGTCGGATCGCTGCAGGGTGATCTTGGGCACCACCTGCCCGTTGCAGTCCTTGGCCTTGTCCTGGTCACTGTTGAGGTCTGAGTCCTGCCCCTTCCCGGCCACGCTGCTGGGCAGGGAATTGCTGCTGGACGAGCGCTCCTGCAACTGCACAAGCCCGTCCCTGTCACCCCTGTGTCCACAGCCGTGGGGACATCCCAGGGTGGCTGAGGGCTCCAGGGGCTGGGAAAATTCCTTCCCTCCCTGGAACTGGTGGATGGAGACTTGGAGCAACCTGGGGTAGTGGGAAGTGTCCTGTGCCAGGGGGGGACTGGGTGAGCTTTCATGTCCCTTCCAACCCAGGCTGTCCTGGATTTCCAGGCTTTTCCTTTTCCTTTTCCTTTTCCTTTTCCTTTTCCTTTTCCTTTTCCTTTTCCTTTTTCCCTTTCCCTTTCCCTTTCCCTTTCCCTTTCCCTTTCCCTTTTCCCTACAAAAAGTTACCATACAACAAAATAACAATCCCCAATACCTACAACAAACACCATTTCATAACCATTGAAACTACCAACCTCCCACTACAACACCACCTCTAACCACTTCTATTATCACAAATAAAAAAGAATTACAGTTTTACACAAAATTATACAAGTTACAGTTTTCCCTTTCTCTTACACCCCCTACACTCAGCTCTCCACAGCTGAGTTAGGTCTGTTCAGATTTGGTCAGGGAGAATAATTCCTAAGGACAAAACTGAGCAAATCTTGGTCCTTCAAGCAGGAAACTTTGCCCTTTGCAGTGAGCTCTCATCCAAAATGGCAAAGAAGAAAAATCCTCAAGTCTCTTGCTGAAATGTGGCCTCCAGGATTTTTGCATTTGAACTAAATTTTGTATTAACACATTAAAAAAAAAAAATCGGTTTTTGTCCTTTATTTTTTTATTTTCAACAGTGCTATTAAAATTTGAAGTTTATTACACCCTCTCATAGCACTGATGATGCCACAGCGAAGTGGGAAATTCTCTGTTCTCACAGCACATTGCTGAAGTCCAGGACATTTTCCACCTTTAATCATGGGATATTAAATAGATCCAAGGCCCCATTTCTTGTAGGTGCTTTGCCCTCACTATCAGCTTAATTCCCTCTGTCTTTTTAATTTCTCTGTGTGACTCTAAAGGGAGACATCCTTTAACAAAGCCTTTGGGCACTTCCCTGGTGGATTTGCTCAGGGAAGGGGCCTCAGCACCAGCCTGACCCTCAGGCAGGGCTGGCCCAGACCCTTCCTGCAAACAGCAGCAGCCAGAGAGGAACAGCCACTTCCCAGGGGATGCTGTAGCTCTGGACAGATAAGAGAAGAGGGATAAGAGGCTCTGGAGAGAGTCAAACATTGGTTTGTGTCTCTCTACATGTGAAGGAGGTGATGTCTTGCCCAGACAAGGAGATTTTCAGGGATGTCTCCTGCAGATGCTGCTGACATGGACCAAAAGGATGGTTAGAGCTGGAAAATGCCTGGGCTGCAGCACCAGAGGCTTTTGGCCATGTTTTTATAGGAAAGTTGTACTGAAAAACATTCCCAAGGACTTGGCACCACAACGGGACATGTCTTGTCCTGGTTGTGCTTTGGCCAAGCAGGGCTGGAACAGATGATCCTGGAGGTCCCTTCCCAGCTGGTGTTCATTGAATCCCAGGGTGGTTTGGGTTAGAAAGGACCAGGAAGACCATTAGTTTCCAACCCTCCTGCAATGAGCATGGACACTTCTACCATTCCCGTTTCCTTGGCTCCCATAAGGACACCAGGGCCTCCCTGGTGGCCCAGGCTGTCTCGAGCCCTTGGTTGTGTCTCCAAAGCCAAGGGTTTGCTGACACATTGAGCTGTGCTGCAGCTGCCCCTGAGTGCCTCCTGTGTGCCCTGGTGACACCAAGCTGGGCTCCTGTCAGGCTCCTGCCAGGCTGCTGCAGGAGATCCACTGGAACTTCTGAGGCCTTTCACGTCCCTCACCTCCTCCTCCTCTCAAACATCCCTGTGCTGCTCCTCTCTGCTGCCTCCCAGTGCACTCTGGGTTGGGATTTGGGTGTGGAAATTTGATCTTTTCATCCTTTTTTGTCCCCACCCATGATAATATCTCAGTTTTTTGATTCAGATGTGATGCCCAAAATAGTCACTCCATTTTTTTCTTTTATTTTTTCTGTTTTGGACCATATTGAGCTTTTATTTGGATTTTACATCATGCTTGTTGCTGCCTTCATTTCCTCTCCCTATCCCCAAGACCTCTCATTTTGGCCTCCACTCTTCCAACTCACCAGCCTTTCCTGCTCCTCTTGCTGCTTCTTCAGCTGCTCCATGAGCTGCTGGAATTCCTCCTCCTTCTGCTGCTCCTCCAGCATGGTGGCGTCGTTCTGCTCAGCATAAGCCATGGCCACCACGGCCAGGATGAGGTTGATGAGGTAGAAGGAGCCCAGGAAGATCACCACCACGAAGAAGATCATGTAGGTTTTCCCTGCTGCCCTCAGTGTCTGTGGGAAGTGGTGGCAAGGGTGTCACAATGTCACTTTGGTGACGCTCCCAAGAAAAGGCGCTGCCCCTCCTGGTTGTGGTAGGAAGGAAATTTCTGCTTCTGTCTTCTCCGAGGGTTGGTCATTGCCCAATGGACCTTGCTGCAGGCCCTGGCACTGGGCTGGGACTGGTGGCAGAGAGAAGCCTTGGTTTCCAAGGCTCCCAGGGGCTGGGACTGATGGAGGTGGGACCAATATTCCATCACTGACTCGCTTTGCTCAGCCCCCACTGTCTCAGGGCTCACCTTCAGGACAGCGTGGTCCTTTTCTGACTCTGATCATCTGGGCAAACCTTCCCAGAGGACAGGGGTAGCCTTAGGTGTAGGATCCCTTTTACCTGGCCAGTCTGTGGAGTCAAGGTTTTGTGGTGTCTCCCTAGAGGAAAACTCAACGAGGGGACAAATGACCTGGCTTCTTCTCCCTATCCTTTCCCTCAACTCGAGCCAGAGATGCTCTGGACAATCTTATAAATCCCTGATTTCCACGCTCAAGCTGACAGCACCCTGGGAAATACACTGCACTCCCATGTTAGGAAAGGAGTGCATGAAGTGCATGGGACCATCCCCATCCCCACTGATCCTGGCTGAATCCACAAACCACAGGAGAAGGACCCACAAGGTTCCCGTCAGTGACTTTCCATCTCAGGGGCAGCACGGACACAAGAACACTTGCCCAGGGGTGCAGGGGCAGTGCCTACCAGCTGGAAGAGGTTCTCCCAGAAGTCCTGGGTCATGAGGCGGAAAAGGGCCAGGAAGGCCCAGCTGAAGGTGTCGTAGCTGGTGTAGCCATAGTTGGGGTTCCTCCCGGCCTTCATGCACTCGTAGCCCTCGGGGCACTTCCTGCCGGGGGGCAGCAGGGATGAGACCCTGGCAGGGCCCCGCAGCCAAACCCATCCCTAGAGAGGGGGTGCAGCGGGGGGACCCTCCCCTCCAGGATGGCACAGGTGGGATGCCTGGGCTGACACCACCTGCCCCTGTCTGATAGCTGATGCCCCCCAAAGCTGGCACAGACAGGATGCTCAGACTGGGACCCCTCAAGCTGATAAATCTGGGATGCCTGAACGGTTTCCAGCTGAAGCTGATGCAGGTGTGATGCCCAGACTGAGATCCTTGAGCTGGTACCATTGGCATGATCCAACTGATACCCTCAGGGTGCTCCCCAAGCTGATCCACTGGGATTCCTGGACTGTTCCCCTGCAGAGCCACATTCCCAGCCCCAACCCTGTCCCATCCCAAGCACCAGGAATCCCACGAGCTGTGCCAGCTCCCTGTCCCAGAGGGAGGGGGTCTCACTCACCCAGCGTCGCTGCTGTTCCCGCAGAGCAGGGCATCCAGGGCTCCCTCCAGGAAGTAAAAATTGGCTTTGCAGGTGGGGAAAGAGCAAGGAGTAAAAAGGAATAAATAAATAAATAAATAAATAAGCACAAACATTGATTTTCAAACTCTTGGGTGCAACTTGCTGTCAGGGAAATTCCTTGAATCCCAGCAGAATTTGTTGACTCCCAGTGTCAGGCACGTGGTTATCTACTCTCTGTTGATTTTGTTGTTTGTCTTGCCTCTGTCACAGGGAGCTCCTGGGATTGTTACATAAATCCAGCCAGGTCCCTCCCAAGCCTGGAAATCCCTCTGGATCTGGCCAGGGTCAGGCCACCTGGAAAATGGGTTAATGTGAGGTCAAAGGATCAGGGCTGACCTGTTTTCCTGGGAAATTGGGGCATTTCCAGGAAGCACCAAGCATGGGGCACTGCAGATGTCCCAGGAAAACCTGGGGAAACTGCTCCTGCTCCATGGCTGCACCTTCTCCTGCTGCTCCCGTCACTGTTGGGGACCCCAGGGTTCCTTGCAGCTCTTCCTTAGGGCTCCAGCACAGATCCAGAGCCACAGGAGCTGCCAAGCAGTGCCACCCCAGGTGACCTGCCCAGGGACACAGAGCAGCACCTGCAGACACCCACACCTGGAGGTGGCAGAGGGCAGCTGGATCCAGTCCTGAACATCACCCAGCACAGCCCTCCCAGGATTCTGGGGCTTCCTGGATCCTCCCCGGCTCTGCCTGCTTTCTTGCCATGGGGCTTCTCTTTATCCTGTGGGGGCTCAGGGAGGAAATACCCTGTTTGTGCAATTCCAGGGTTTTGGGCCGGCCCCAGCAGCTGCTCTGCTGCACTCGTGGCCTTGGGCAGCTCCTCTTTGCTGAGAGCTCATCAGATCCCATGGACGGAACTTGTGCCCTGACAAAACCTTCCTGTAATGAATGCTGGAGCTGATTGTTGGGCCAAGCAGCTCAGCTGAGACCCAGTCCAGGCTTCTGAGCTGGACACAGGACTCATTCTGTGTCCTAAATGAGATGTGGGGCATCCCTGTGGGGCACCCTGCCACCCTGCGGCTCTACCAGGCAGATTTGCTAGATTTTTACATTCTTGTGGAGTTTAAAATCTCAAAACTGAAGAACAAACAAAAAACCCACCACACTTCGGGCATAATTTTCAAAGAAGGTGTAGGAAAGGAGAAAGGTAGACCTTCCTGAGGACCTGTGCTGGTTCCACCTCTCCCTCTCTCTCTCCCTCCCATCCTGTGGCTTTTGTGGTGTTACATAAAGGGTTCACTGGGCACTGTAGTACCTAGGAAAGGATCTATATAGTGAAAAGTGGCTTCAAAATGTCATTGCTGTATCTTTTCCTCTGCTTTTCCACCCGAAGTTCCACCTGATCCTCAAGAGTTTGGTCTTCTTGCTGTAACCACACCTATGGCACATTGGGGAGAGATGGAGACTGGTCCATCCAAACCTTCTTGTTGTGAAACCTTCCTGGAAGAGCTCAGCTTGTCCAAGTGGACCTCATTGTCCCTGTCCAGGGGGATTTGATCCCATCTGTCCATTTGGTGAGGGTGCACGGCCTGTTCCACCCACCAGCTTTGGCAGGAAGATCCCTGTGAGCAAACCTTGGAGCAGCCAGGAGGAGCAGAAAACTGAGGAACGAAGCGGGGTGAGGGGTCAGAGGAGAAGGGGCTGCAGGAGCTTTACCTTCATCGCTGATGTAGGCCTCAAAGTCAAAGGTGCTGTTCCCGGTGAAGTTCCCGGTGAAGTTCCCAGTGAAGTCATCCATGAAGTCGTAGGAGGTTGAGTTGACCGAGGTGTCGTTGTCCAGCCCCAGGTCCTGCAGGAAGGTGCTGTTGGGGGGAGGCCAGCGCACGCACTTCTGCCGCAGGTTGCCCATGAAGAGCTGGAGGCCGATGAGGGCAAAGACGCTCAGGCAGAAAACTGTGAGGATCATCACATCCGAGAGCTTCTTCACTGACTGGATCAGAGCCCCCACAATCGTCTTCAGCCCTGGGGGGAGGCATCACCACTGAGCTGGTTGCTCACTGGTTAATTTGCAGTGTCCCCAAAAGGTGCTGGCTGTGGTGGGGACGTGTGCCACCCCTGAGTTCAGGCCCCCATCCCATCCCAGCTCTGTCCCCACACAAGGCTGGGCCCCCCACAACTGTCACCCTTGGGCTGGTGCTGGTGACTTCTTCATCCCAGCCTTGGGATATCCAAACCAAAGCCCACCCCTGTCTGGCAGCCATCAATTACTTTGAATTTTCTTTTTTCCCTAAATGCCACAATTTGGCATTTTTTTGTACCAAAGCACTGGAGTGAAGCACTTCAGAGTTGGACATGGAGAAGCTCTTTGCTCTGTACGATGCTGTGCATCTCACCCAGCCCCCAAAAAGCCTCTGTGGCCTGACTGCTGTCCCTGGGTGGTTGGGAGCCCTGCCAGACCCCTCATCCTGATCCCTTCAAGCTGTGCCCAACTCATCTCTCCCCACAGCATCACCGTTCCCTCCCCAGGGAGGCTCACCCACAGATCCTCAGCGTGGTTTTTCCAGGGAGGATGGGGTTCCTGTCAGCCAAGGTCTACATGGACAATGGGCAATGCTGGGACATCCCAATGTCCATCTTTAGATCTTCTCTGAGCCCAGAGCTTTCTCACATAGAGAAATTCTCCAAGGAAATGATTTTTAGACCTGTCCTCCTGCCAGCTCCTCATTCCCCAAACTATTTAGGTAAAATCCTGTTCTCCAAGGGCCTGACCAAGGTCAGATGTTCTAAACCAGTTTATTTTTGCCACTGCTATTTCTGCAGAGCCCTTGGGAATGTAATTCCAGAAAGAACTAGCAGTTTACATTTTGCTCAATGTAATTTTTAGTCTGATGAAGGAAAAAAAAACATTCAAAGGTGAACCCTCACGATCTGGAGCCTGCAGGGACACTACAAGGATTTGTTCACCCCAAGGAATTCTCATTTTCAGTTTAATCTCACGCTTCTGATTTCTGTGTGCTTGCAGCAGGTGTTGAAAGCATGGTGTTGAAATGGTATCAAATTTGGAAATCAGAAATCAGAGGGATTTGATAAGGTGATCCTCACATGAGTCTGGATGTCTTGGGTGATGTTAAACCAATACCTGTTAAATGCCTCAGCCTCAGCACCAGACAGCCAACAATGGGCACAAAACTGAGTTCATAGCTTCAAAAATTGAGAGATTTGGTTTACCAAACCCATAAATCCACTGGGAGCACAAATTCCCTTAATTCATCTTCAAGGAGCCTTAAAAACATCACCTCTGCCTCTTCAGGGGCTGCCAAACAACCTGATGAGTGCAGCCAATTTCAAAATGTAAAATCAGCAGGACCTGGCCCAAAAGCTGAATTTACATGGAAAATTTATGCAATACCTCATTTCCTCTGTTTTCTCTTGGAGCTGACAAAAGAACCAGGAATTGCTGGGAACAGTGGGAATACCTGAGCTCAGGGGAAGGCATGGAGGGGAGGCCCCTTCTCTAAGTCCCACCTGGTATCACCGTGATGGTTTTCAAGGCACGGAGCACACGGAAGGTCCTGAGAGCGGAGATGTTCCCCAGGTCCACAAACTCGGTGATGTAGCTGTGAGGCAGGAGAGGGAAGAGCTCCAGGGGCTCTGCCCAGAACACTCCTCGTTCCTTGAAATTTCCCTCCTGTCCTCCCCGTCCCACTGGACTCACGCCATGGAGATGACCATGAAGTCCAGCCAGTTCCAGGGGTCCCGCAGGAATGTGAAGTCATCGATGCAGAAGCCTCTTGACAGGATCTTGATGAGAGACTCGAAGGTGTAGATGCCAGTGAAGGCGTATCTGAAACGGGACTGGTCACTCAGGACACACTTACTCAGGTCCAAGGTTCTGTCCCTCCCTCCCAGGGGGAATGTCTTGAGGAGCTGACGCTGGGGGCTGAGGGGTTTTCTCAGCACTGGGAGAAGTTTTCTCCTCACCTCGTGAGGTGGGCTGGGACATCTCAAGGTACCAATCCCTCTGGTGGCCATTCTGCAGCACCTCTGTCCCTGCTGATGTCCCACCCCCCACACTCTCTGTAGAGCCCTGCTGAGACCTGGCTGTGCAGAATCACAGCAGAAAATGTTGGATTTCCCCTCTCCCCTGGGTTATCCATGGTCCCTGGACAAGTGGATCAGCTCAGCCTCTCCAGACTGACAGTGCTGACCCAGCCCAGCCCAACCTGCTCTTCAAGGCTCTCCAGACATGGGATCCCACCAGATTTTGGGTAGCTCTGAAACATTCTCACTCTTCAATGCCACACAGAGAGTGTGGACGTCCCTTCTGAGGGCTGCCAGCACCTGCCAGTGACACCTCCCCTGTGCTGAAGGGTGCCTGGATCCCCACCCCCCTCTCTCAGCCTTGGTCTTGTCCCTCCTGAGGGACACTGCCAAGCTGGGCTGTCCCCATGGCCAGGGGAGGTCTCAGGACTCACTCCACGTTCTTGGACCATGCTGGAGGGTTGCTCATCGTCATAAACACGCAGTTGGTTAAAATGGTGATCATGATGAACATGCTGAATAATTTAAAACCTGGTCAAGGATGAAAGCTCTGGATGGTGCATGGATCCCCCCTCCCCACGGTCAGGAAGCCAAATGTCCCTGTTCCTCTTGTCCTGGCTGCCACCTTGGTCCCTCACCCTGCCCTGCTCCTCCTGCTGCTCTCCTGACTCAGTCCTGTGCTCACACTTCCCTCTTTTCCTCTCTGCTGCCATGCATGGTCCCAGCCCCTTTCCTTCCTTTCTGATCCCCTTCCCAGCTCTGTGGTTCTGGCTCTGCCTCCCTTTCTGTTCCCTGTGCTCCTTCCTCTCCATCACCTTTGGATAGAGCTTTCCCTTCCCTTCATAGTCTCTCCAGACCTCAAAACCCTTCAGCCTCTTTCTAGAAAGCTCTTAGAGCTTTCTCTGCTGCAAAACCTCCCTCTTTTCATCCTGCCCCATGGCCATGAACCCCCACTTCCTCCAGAGCTCTTCTGGAATCATTTCCACCCACCCTGCCATGCCCCTCGTGCTCTTGGGCTCCTGTCCCACCTTTCTCTCTGTCTTGGTTCCTCTGCTTCCCTCTCCCAAAGTCTCCTTGGAGCTCCCCTGCTCACGCCCTTCCCAGTGGGACCAGATCTCCTGACCCATGAACATTTCCCTTCCTTCCCAAGTGTCTCCAGGCCTCAAAACCCTTCAGCCTCTCCCTAGGAAGCTTCACCTCTTGGGCTTCTTCCCTTCCCCATCCAAACTGATTCCTCCCTTCTCCAGCCAGAAGAGAGATTTTGGTGCCTCCAGGGAACCCATCAAGAACCTGCTCCTTGGAGTAAAGCTCTGGACAGCAGGTCCTGGCTGTGCTGGGGCCCTGGAGGTTTCCACACCACCCCATCATGAGCCCCTTCACTTGTCCCTCTCCTGGGGCAGTTTGGACGCTGAACACTGGGGTCTGGCCTGGCCATGGAGCAGCATCCCAGAGATCAAGGATATGAATGGATGAGGACTTTGATGGCTCCTCTGCGGATGGGGTTGAAGGGCCCCAGCATGTAGAGGGCAGGGGTGGCCGAGAAGCGGAAGATGGACTTGCCCTTGTTGAGAACTATGAACGTCTGTGGAGAGAAGTGGGGAGGGGGGTTAGTCCTTCTACAACCCCCAAAACAGCACAGACCAAGGGCTGCCCTCGGAGGGGAGATCTCTGCATGTTTGGAGCTCCAAAGGCTTGGAGACGCTTTCTGCTTTGGAAGAGAAGCAACTACAGCAGTCTGGGGTGGTGGATCACCAGGATGAGCTCAGGTAAGCACTGTGGAGAGCACAGGAGGTCCCTGCTTGGGTCTTTTGCTTGGGACTTACACCTAAGGCCAAGCCTACCACGGGCAAAGCTCTGGCCCTCACCTTCTTGTCCTTGTAGAAAGGGTCCAGGTCCTCCAGGGGGGTCCCGATGAGCTCCACGGGTGGGTCACCATAGATGAGGGGCAAGTTCTTGCCGGCTTCCAGGTCACTGCTGGGCTTGACCTCCTCTTCCTCAGGCATCTCCACGTGCTGCCGCTTTATCCGGAGCGCCTCAGCCTCGGCCATGCGCTGCTCGATGGCGGCCAGCGAGGCCGGGGTGAAGGGGCGCAGGTTCTCGGGGCCCGGGATGTGCGGCAGGCTGGCCATCCTCTCATTCTGCTGCCGGGCCAGCCGCGCCCAGCCTGCGGGGACAAGGGGCTGGGATCCACCCGGGGACACCACGGGGCCGCCTGGATCTCAGGGGGGTTTTACCAAATGCGTTTATGGCAGAAATGCTGAGCCCACAGGGAAGGTTATCGCGCGTGGATCACGGAGCACCCCGGGTGTTCCTGCTCCTCCCAGACCCCCATTCCCATCTGGAGCTGGGAAACATCAGCCTGGAGGAGGCTCAGAGGGACACAATTCCACAACTCCCTGACAGGAGGGTGCTGCCAGGAACGAGTTGGGCTCTGCTCCCAGGAGCAGCAACAGGACAAGGGGACATAACCTTAAGCTGCACCAGAGGAAGTTTATGCTGGACATCAGGAGAAAAATTTTCCCAGAAAGATATGGCACTGGAAAGGGCTGCCCAGGGAGGTGGTGGAGTCACCATCCCTGGAGGTGTTTAAGGAAAGCCTGGATGTGGCACTGAGTGCCATGGTCGGGGTGACAAGGGGGTGTTGGGCCATGGATTGGATTTGAAGATCTCAAAGGTCTTTTCCAACCTCATTAATTCTGTGATTCTGTGATTCTGTGATTCCGTCTCCGGTCAGGAGGCACTGTGAGGCTGGGACACCTGGTGTCCCTGTCACAACCTGGTGTCCCTGTCACCATCTGGCAATGTCACACACAATTTCACAACCCAAACATGGTGTTTCAACACAACCAAACACCTTTGGAAGCAGCAGCCCTGCTCCAGATGCCTCCCCTTGGCAGAGCATCAACAGCTTTGCTCCTGCAGCTCCTGCAAGGGGCCTGTGATCCCTCAGACAGGAGGTTCCTCAGCCAGAGGAGCTGGGTCCTGCAGGGCTGTGGCTCTGGCACAGCTCCCAGCCATGGGAAGCACGAGGAACCTGCCCTGCTGAGTGGCTCTGCTCCCAGGAAGGGTCACAGGCTTCTCCTGTGCCAGAAAGTGAAGCAGTAACAGCACTTTTGGATGTTACAGAGATGACTTCCCAGAAGGAACAGGGTGGGTTAGGAGAGGTAAGGATGTTCTACTGCATGAAAAGAGTTGCAGAGAGGGAATTGTGGAGGAGTGGCTGCCCCTGGGGGAAGCGGCTGACATGCCCTGGGAGAGGTGGAGATGCTGGCAGAGGCTCCCCCAACACCGCAGAAGTTCTTGTGCCTTGACAATGTCCCATAACACCAGAGTGTATGGGATAGGAGCCCAGCATTCCATAAAACTCAACCCTGCTTCTCATGGACACTGCGACAGAGATGCCTCTGTGCCTCACCCTCCCAAAGCAAGCATCCCACTGGCAAACACAAACTTCCCCAAAAAACCTTCAGGATCGATATTCCCCAGAGCCCCAGCTCTGCCGTGCTGAGAGCTGGAAACCCTCAGCCCTTTGGGATTAGGGAGAACTGGACATTTACAGTCCTGATGGGAAAAGAGACTGGAAATGGAGCTGGGGGTGGGGGGCTCAGCCTGGAGCAAAGGAGGCTCAGGGCCCTTCTGGCTCTGCACAGCCCCTGCCAGGAGGGGACAGCCGGGGGGTCGGGCTCTGCTCCAGGAACAGGGACAGGAGGAGAGGGAATAACTGTGCCAGGTTTAAATTGGGTGTTGGGAAAATTTCTTCACTGAAAAGTTGACCAGACTTTGGAACAGGCTGCCTAGGGCAGGGATGGAGTCCCCATCCCTGGAGGGGTTTAAAAACCCAGTGGATGTGGCACTTGGGGACAGGGGACAGTGGTGGCCTTGGCAGGGCTGGGGAACAGTTGGGCTTGATGATCTCAGAGGGCTTTCCCATCCTGAAGGATTCTCTGACTCCATCTGCTTCAGGGAGAGCTCTGTCCTTCCTGAGCAGGGTTGTGTAATGGCACAGAGTCCCATCACTGCAAAGTGGAGTCTGGTCCCAGCCCAGCTTGTGGCCCTGGCTGCTGCAGAACAGAGCCCAGAGCAGGTTCCCCCACGGGTGGGGGGATGGACCCCAGAGGTGGGACCTCATCAAAGCAAACAAAAAGGGAACTTTGGGTCCCAGGTGTCTCTGAGAGGGGACAATGCTTGGGCAGGGGGCAGAGGTGCCACCAGTGCTGCTTCTCATGAATTACTCTGGACTTACACCCAGTTCCTGCTCCACTTGAGCAGTTCTGGAACCTTCCCCTTGATAACAGGGAGCTCAAAAAAAAACAAGAAGCAAAGGGCTGTGGCTGGTTTGATCACCCTAAATCCTAGTGGGAATGCACTGGTGCAGGGGATCACAGAACACCTCCATCTGGGAATGGATCCACCAGGATCATCAGAAGGAGCTCCACCCATGCTCCAGAAGGACCCACAGTGCCCATCACAGAATTCACAGCATGACAGAACCACTGGGTTGGAAGAGACCTCCAAGATCATCGAGTTCAACCCAGCCCCAGTACCTCAACCAAACCCTGGCACCCAGTGCCACATCCAGGCTTTGTTAAACAAACCCAGGGATGGTGACCACCACCTCCCCAGGCAGCCATCCCAGAACTTTATCACCTTTCTGTAAAAACCTTTTTCCTAATATCCAACCTCTATTTCCCTTGGTGCATCTTGACCTTCCCACCTCATCTCTGGCAGCTCTGAGGGCCCAGAGGAGCTCGTCACTCGGGGCAGCCTCAGTTTCCCTGGAAACCGGCACTGGCAGAGCTGCCAGGACCAGCCCGGGCCGCTGCCCCCAGCTCCGTGCCCGGGGTGCTGCCCGGGCCGTGCCTCCCCGGCGCTGTCCCCGCGGCCGGAGGTGGCTCTGCCTCCAGCTGCCACCAGCGATCAGCGCCGGGCTCAGGTTTCTGCAGCCCCATGACTCTGCTCATTCCTGCCCCGGGGAGCCGCCGCGAGCAGCCCCAGCCCTGCTCCTGCCCCATCCCCTCTCCTGCCCCCCTCCCCTCTCCTGCCCGGTCCCTTCTCCTTCCCCCATCCCCTCTCTTTCCCCTGTCCCCTCCCCTGCCCCTGTCCCCTCTCTTGCCCCATCCCCTCTCCTGCCCCTGTCCCCTCTCTTGCCCCATCCCTTCCTCTGCCCCTGTCCCCTCTCCTGCCCCTGTTCCCTGTTCCTGCCCTTGTCCCCTCTCTTGCCCCATCCCCTC